TTCTTTCTTTCTAGGTAGGTGGGGAGCAGCTGAGCGTCTACCTAACTACCTAACACTTGTTACGCTGCCTGTTCCCATGCTCCGGGGAGAGGATCACGTGTTGTAATAAAACAAAAACGCCAGCCCCTAACACGACCCTGCAGCCAACGTGTGGTGGCTGACCTGCTGTCCTCCGGCGCGGACGTCCGTCTGCCGCTTCGGGTGCGTGCTCGGGAGCGGTCCGCAGCTGAAGGCCCGCCAATGGCCTGGGCGGACCGGTGCCTGTCCTCTCGTGCGGACGTCCGCCCGCCGCTTCGGGTGCGTGCTCGGGAGCGGTCCGCAGCTTAAGGCCCGCCGGCGGCCCGGGCGGACCGGGGCCCCGACCTCGTCCCTGGCGGTGCCTGACAAAACGCAGAGAGCGACTGCCTCGCGTCAGCCATGCTGACATGTTTACACGCCGGCCGGCCGGGCGGACGGATGGACGGACGGACGGACGGACGCTGGCGGACAGACCGGCCGCGCTGGCCTGCCCGCCTCGCCCCCTGGCCGCCGGCCGCCACGTGACCTCGGCGAGGCCTTCACCTGCCCGGCCGGTACGGCCCCCGGAGCCGCCAGTTCAGGCGCCGCCCAGGGGAATGGTCCCGGTTGATACGGCCCCCGGAGCCGCCAGTTCAGGCGCCACCTCGGGATATGGGTGCAGCTAGCACTGCCCCGGAGCCGCCAGTTCAGGCGCCACCTCGGGATATGGGTGCAGCTAGCACGGCCCCCGGAGCCGCCAGTTCAGGCGCCACCTCGGGATATGGGTGCAGCTAGCACGGCCCCCGGAGCCGCCAGCTTAGGCGCCACCTCGGGATGCGAGTCAGATCATCTTGCCCTTGCATGTGTGTATATTGGCTTCTAATCGCTAAATTTCTTTCCTCAAACCGGACGCCGATTCCCCTCGGTGCGATGAGGGAACAGCAATGTCCTGCCGTATGTTTAGACAACGAGGCCGTGTGCGTGTCCGGGACAGATGCCGTCTGCGTGTTCGGGACAGATGCCGTGTGCGTGTCCGGGACAGATGCCGTCTGCGTGTCCGGGACAGATGCCGTGTGCGTGTCCGGGACAGATGCCGTAGTGCCGTGTCCGGGGACAGATGCCGTCTGGCGTGTCCGGGACAGATGCCGTCTGCGTGTCCGGGACAGATGCCGTGTGCGTGTCCGGGACAGATGCCGTCTGCGTGTCCGGGACAGATGCCGTCTGCGTGTCCGGGACAGATGCCGTCTGCGTGTCCGGTTGTCTCTGCGTGACTTACTGTCCCGCCGCTCAGTCCATCAACCATGATAAGGCCATCCCTTCCAGCCTTTGTCCCGTGATCAAATTAATCAAATGAAATGGGATTAGGATGAAACCGCATTCTGCAAAAAGTGGTGTAGGAGCGGGCGATGGGTCCAACATCAGTTGACAGCGAGTTGTAGAAATAAAACACGAGAAAAAGGCTGCATCCGGTGATCAGTACGGTGCCCTTGGCGGCTGTCATTGTCTTTGTGCGCCTAGTGATAATGCAGCTAGTGGCAGTTTTTCTCTGGCAGTAATGATCGGTGTAGTTAATTCAGGTAAAGAGGATTTGGGAGGTGAAATATTTCATCTTCTTTATGGGAGGAATTTCAAACTAAATATTGTGGATTCGTGATAGAACTGTGCCAAACGAAGGATAAACACACCGCAAATGTTGGCTGTGGACTGTAAGCAAAACACTTCTGAAGTGTTTCCCCACTTACGCGGTCCGACCGGAATATTTGAAATATGAACTTTTTAGTTTGCAGTTGTGTTTGGGTTAAATGTTAGGCCAGAATGTAGTGTCGTGTGGAGGATACTGCAAACAAATGTTTGGCGGGTACCACTCCCAGCATTCTTCAATGTCGAAACGGTCAAATTAGACTGGTTAAGTTATACTGGTCTTAGACTGGTCGAAACGGTCAAGTTAGACTGGTCTTTCCATGCTGGATGATATGGCCGCTGCCATACCACTGTGCCGCGCTTTCCTTCCACAATCGTGGCAAGTTAAGGAAGATTTCGAAATTTTGTTACATAGTCCACCCCGCTTCACAGATCTGCGGATATTTTGGATCTTTCCAAGGATCTCCCCGCGGCTCCGCTGAGCTCCGCTGTCTCCAGACTGTTTTGGCCGCTCCAAGTCCCAAAACTATCCAAACCGACCGCGTATACTTACACATAAGCAACGTAAAGTTGAGATAAACGGACCATGACACTTGACTACAGCACAGCACCACTTCACGCTTCCCGCAAACCGCTGGTCGGTAGTGGGACGCGTGGCGCCGGTTTGGCGACGTCCGCGCCGCTTCTCGCCGCGTGTTCGTCCGTCCGCCCGCCCTGCTGGTCACGCCTCCCACGCCTATCGACGGCGTCCCGGATCTCAGCTGGAAAGCATTGTTTGGAGCCAAGCCCGCTGTGCAGCCCTGACCCCGATAGCAGGAGCGGGGTCGCGATGCGGGGGTCTCGGGGTGTCGCGTGCTGGATCGGCCAGCGGCATCCTTCGGCGGCAGGAGCGCCGTTGCCTGACATTGCAATACCGATTGACAAATGTGCGCGTAACGTAAAGCTTCACTCGCTTTGTTCGAACGCATTACTGGAACGCGACGTGTCATACGTAAGCCAATGCGCTCAGTGGCAAAGAGCATGTATAAATGGCCGGTAAACTGGGACTTAAGCAGCATTTGTGCGCGCTATGAATTGGTAGGCAAGCTGCCGTCACTTGCGAGGAGTCAACAAGGTGCATTATGGGGTTGCCTTACTCCAGAGCTCATATTCCGTCTCCGTTAGCCGCTGACACGTGTCGCAACAGAAAGCGCGTGACTGCCCTCCGCGGCGAGAGGCTGGCACAGTGACTGGCGGTGACGCGTGAGTGCGCGGCAGCACACGAGCAGGCGTGTGCTGGCGGCCCGTGGATAACACACACGTCAGGAGCCGATTGGAAAGACTGGCAGATGCTGCGAGGTTTGTGTTCGTATCCAAGTGGGGTCATCATGAGCGGAGCTTCTAAAGATTTGTCGGAACACCAGCAACAGATTTTTCCCAAGCGTTGAATTGTTTGCTTTTTTAGTTTCGGGCGATGTTTTGTTCATTGGATCAAATGTGATGATTGGGGGTGGGGGGGGGGGGGGCGGGGGGCACCAAAACGTTAAGAGAGGTGTAAGGTCACTCCGGAGGGATGGAAACTCCACCCATGATGTTTGTGTGATGCTGTTTATTCTCAATCACTCCAGCAGTTAAATGTGCTGCAAGTCGCGTCGGGTTCGAGCAGCACCCACCTCCGAGCCGCACAATGGCGAGTGACCGGAGGCCGCGGGTGTGCGGTATGCATGGCCTCGCCGCCTGTGACTGCGTGCGGGAAATACCTGTCACGGATGTCGGGAAAAACCAGCGCGCCCCGCACGCACAAACACGCCCGCACTCATTGTCGGCGAGCCCCAGTCCGGAAGCATCGAATCGCGCTTGGTTCGCCGAACGCTCGCTGCGACGAACGTGACGAACGTCCCAGGCGGAACGATCGCCCGCCGCCACCGAGCGAGAGCGGCAGCCCCCTGCGTTTGCGTCAGACCGCTTTAGCAGGAAGCTGGGAGAATCCGATCCCTGAGCACGCAGCAGCCAGCGGGTCCCACGCCCTTGTATACGTGCTGCGTTTGGGCGACACCCAGCTGTGCAGGCTGCGTGCAGGCAGGAGAGGGATGTGCGCTCCAGCGACGCTAAAGGTCACCGCGCTGCTGCTGAGCAGGGTGGAAAATTTACCGCAGTAATGACGCCGAGTGACGCATTGTTTTCGTTCGAACGTAATTGCCCATATGGGCATTTTGGGCGATGGCATTTCAAGGTTTACGTCTTCAGCTGATTATGAATGTTACTGATGAGCGATCCGCGTGGCGTGACGTCATAGGTTTGGTGGAGCATAGATGCGAGCAGAGCTGTGTGTGGCACAAATACCTCGCGATTTTTTGCGATTTTTCTTCCCTCAACAGAATGATGCCGCGTTGTGATACAAATCCGCAGCTATATTTGCGAATTTCGCCGCAAAGAGTGAACAGATCATCGTAATTATAGAACGCTAACCACCAGGCACGCTCCTTATACTCTGTCATCCTCAGCTGTCGAAGATGTGCCTTCACCCGGAACACTCAGCCGACCTCGTCCCCGGCTGACCTCTCTTTCCCAGCTGTCTGAGCCGTGTCTCCGACCGAACACACGGCTCGTCTGCGTCCCCTGACTGACCTCTGCTTCCCGGCTGCCTGGACCGAGTGTCCAGCCAGACACACGGCTCATCTCTGCTCCCTGCCTGACATCTGCTCCCGGCTGCCTGAGTTGCGTTTCCAACCAGACAAACGGTTTATCTCTGTTCCCTGACTGACATCTGCTCCCGGCTCCCTAGACCACGTGTCCAGCCAGAGCCACGTGTCCAGCAGCTCATCTCTGTTCCCTGACTGACATCTGCTCCCCGGCTGCCTGAGCTGCGTTTCCAACCAGACACATGGCTCATCTCAGGTTCCCAAGGTTCCCTGACTGACATCTCCTTCCCGGTTGGCCTCGCCTCCCCCCCCCCCCCCCCCCTCCCCCGGCTACATGAACCGCGTGTCCAGCCGGACACACGACTCATCTCTGTCCCCTGGCTGACCTCTGCTCCCGGCTCCCGTGTCCAGCCGGACACACGGCTCACCTCTGCCTTCCGCCTGCCGGATCGTCGCCTCTGCTCTCGGCCGCTGTCGTGCCGTGGCTCTGTCGCCCCGTCACGACAGCTGCCGACGACCGTGGGGGTGCAGCGGCCGGGCTCCGGGCCGACCGGCGCTCGACCAGGACCACGGCCGCGAGCGGACCGCGCGGGTTCGACACTCACAGCAGTCGGTGGCGCTGCGAGCTGCGTCTGTCGTGTGTATGCCGTTCACACGCGCCGCGCGGCCGGGGAAGTGCGCGTCTGACAACGCCGCCCAGCAGTGCTTCGTGCTGAGGACGGGGTGGTCGTGCTGTTTCAGACCGGGCTCAGTTCAGCCCAGCCCAAGATGCAGCTTCTCGTGGGTGCCGCCGTCCTGCTGGCGGTCGTCACCGGCTCCCTCGGCCAGTGCCTGACCTCCAACGACACGGCCATCAACGCCACCAACGCCGCCAACATCTACATCAGCGGCTCGCATAACTTCAGCATACGCCTCTTCCAGAAGCTCTACTCGGGTGACGCGACCAAGGTGAGCCGAATGGAATTCTTATGAGCGTCGGTTCGTGGTCTGGTGATAGTGAGACCCTTTCCAGCCCTTGCAGGATAAGTTGCAGATCCTTATTCATCATGACACGATGAATGATACAGTCGCAATTACTGGCTGCATAACTCATTACATGGCAGTAACAAGGCCGGTCATGAGCAGCATTTTCCCCTCCAGAGCTCCAGCAAAGCAAAAATTCAGCCAACATGTTCAGAATTTCCAGAGAGCCCAGAGCCTTAGTACGTTGGCTGGAGTGTTTCGTATATCGATCGTGACAATTTGCATGCTAAAAATCACCCGTGTGTCATGTATAAACCCGTCCACCTTTAACCAGCGCATGCAGTCGCCCTCAGCTCACGTTGCCTGCCATGCTCACTTCACATGCCAGTTTTTGGCCGTATTTTTTTGCAGTTTGTCATAGTTTGTCGTGTTGGCGTTGGCGTGTCACCACATTCACCTTTGCATGACTTCATTCGGTGGCAGCTGCATACGACCTCTTCCCAGAACGTCATGCATGCCGCGTGCGATCAGGGTCACCGAGCCGCCTCGCCGTGCGCGAAAGGAAGCGGCGGTCACCGCACAACCATATCCCTCGCCCGTGTGTTGGAAGCAGCTCTCGCGCCCGAGCGGCCCCCGCCGTCAGCGATGGTGTGATTTCTCCGAATACTCGGCGGCAGCGCGGTGTTACTGGCGCGATCGCTTCATCTTCCCGGCCGCCGTGTCGTCACTTTAGGGGAAGTTGGCCCTGCGCATGGAATTCTGCGCCCGTGAAGGCTCACCACCACCCTGATATCTAGTCGGCGCAGCGCTTGGGAAATCAGCCACGCGACGTGATGCCCCTCTTCTGCGGATCTCACGTTTACGCTACAGTTATGTGGAACTGAGCATGAGTCCACATTCGGCTCCCTTGGAGCAGGACGCCCATTCGAGATCACGTCGGTGTTCAGAGCGGAGCTGGGATCTGCTCAGGGCACGCCCGGTTCAGGCCTCGGAGCTGGGATCTGCTCGGAGCACGCCCGGCTCAGACCTTTTTGTTGGTCAGACGTGTGCCACATCCGGGTTCGGCTAATCTATTCCGAATCTGACTCAAAACGGGTTCGATTTTGGCTCTGATTTCGAGCAGCTCAGTGCGTCCTTGGTCCGACTCCGATTCCGTTGCAAGGAGACCTGGCGCAGTTTCGTAATCGGCTCCCATGAGGCTGACGTTGGGGACAACAAGTATAGAAGATATTCATTTTGTAGCCATATTTATGATGGCTAACGGTGATGGCAAAATCAACTCGAAAAACTTGATTGATTCCCGTCTCATAAAACGGCTTCAGGGAAATCAACTCGATCCTGACTCAAGAAAAATACAATTGACCCTGGGACCAAGCACAAGTCTGCTCTTGATGGGCACACATCAGGGCGTGCGGGTAGACGTCATAGGCTTTCTTTGGAAGCGTTGAGGACATTTCCTTCACACGTGTTCCGTACACGCGAAAACCTGCTCCATCACACTTGCGAATGACCGCAGCATGCCGTGCCGACAAGGAATGGGGTCTGAAGAACTGCGACGGTCGCTTTCTTCTGATCTTGCTACATTGAAAACCAAAAGCGTATGGAGCTCCAAGTGTCACCACCAAAGTCCTGAAACAGCCGAGGTCTGCCGTAATTTCCTGGCGAAACGTGGCCTGCATTAGTGGTCCGCAGCGTGTCGTGGCCCGGCGCACTGTCACCCAATGCGGCGCCACCAGCCCGGGGCGTCACAGCCGGGCTGTCGGCGTCACGGGCGGAGCGCCGGGCCCTGCGCGCCCACGCGGCCCCGCCGCCGTGACGGCCGGCCGGGATTCCCGTCCGTGCCGTCGGCTCGTGCCGCTGCGGCCGGCTGCGGACGAGGGGCGGTCCGACCTGAATCAAGGCCGGGTCACGGCCCGTCGGGCTCGGCCCGCTCCGCTCGTGTCGCCAGCGGCCTCACCAGACCGGGCCGAGGCCAGGACGCGACTGCGACCCCCCCCCCCCGCACACCCCGTCTCCCACCACGCCGTGCAGCGCGGGCGACCACACAGGGGTAATCCTTGACCGCGGTGCCCGCTGAAAATCGGTCAGGGTCCGTCCTTTTTGCGGACGGGTCCTTTACTTGGAAGAGGAACTAACTGGCATCGATCTCTAGTGGGACGAGGTCGTTTTGCTGTCGAATTAGGTTAAATGGATATCTGGGTCTAAAAAATTTTGTCAACCTTGGCACTGCAATGTTTACCGTCATGCCTGCGCTGCAATTTTATTTATTGTTAGGCTTTATGGACGTCAAACGAAAACGGTGCCGAAAAAACTGTTTCTCGTTTATGCTTAACGAATGTCGGCCATGGATCGTAAATCGAGTTCCCGGACGAAAGACAAACGATGTGTCTCCTTCCTTACATTACTGAATCTCAGCATTGCAAACATGCTGCCGCCCCTTATAACCGCCAACGGTCCTCCCACAGGAGCGTAACCTGTTCTACTCGCCACACTCGCTGTGGTGTGCCCTGTCTCTGGCCTACTTCGGTGCCGAGGGCGATACGCAGACGCAGATGGAGGAGGTGATGGGCCTGACACAGCTGACCAAGGTGGATGTGCTGCGCGCCTTCCGCTTCATCCACTTCTGGGAAGACGTCCGCAAGATGGACGACACGGTCGGCAAGAACACGCTGCGCGTGGCCAACAGGTGGGCTCCAGAACGGGGCACGATGTGGTCCCTTACCCCCTCGTGGCGGAATGGCAGAGCCCGCGGCTCCGGACGTCAGCTGAACACAAACAAACTAACAGCATCTCCGATACACTGCAGCCGTTCGGGGACAGCTGAACACAAACCAAATCAACAGCATCTCCGATACACTGCAGCCGTTCGGGGACAGTTGAACACAAACCAAATCAACAGCACCTCCGATACACTGCAGCCGTTCGGGGACAGCTGAGCACAAACCAAATCAACAGCATTTCCGATACACTGCAGCTGGTCGGGGACAGCTGAGCACAAACCAAATCAACAGCATCTCCGATACACTGCAGCCGTTCGGGGACAGCTGAACATGCACCAACTCAACAACATCTCCGATACACTACACCGTTCGGGGACAGCTGAGCACAAACCAAATCAACAACATCTCCAATACACTGCAGTCGTTTGAGGACAGCTGAACACAAACCAAATCGACAATATCCGTTACGCTGCAGCCGTCCGGGAAGGAAAATGTGTTTTAATTTCATAATTTTCGCCGCAGTACAGAGAACTGAATTTAGCTACTATTACCTGTAGGGCGGGGCCAGCTCTTTTGCACACTGCTTGAGAGATTTAACATGACATTTCCTGACGGCGCTTTACGGTTACTTTGAAGATAAAAATTCCTGAAGGAAATACAAAGTTCACTAGGATGGCTGCCTGATGAAGGTGCTTTGTTCCAGACTTTACTTCGACAAGAATGAAGATGTGAAGGAGTGCATGAAGGAATTGTTCCACAATGAATTGGAAATGTTGGATTTCATTGGAGCCAGGTAATTCTTGATTAAGACTCGGACAAACATCGCGTTCACTAAGAAGGTGTGAATCGTTTTCGTGTTGATTTTTCGTGCTGACTATAGATACAGCTAATTGGCATATGCATGCGAGATGCATTCAGTATGGAAATGCGACGTCAGTGCAGTTACATGAATGTATCGATAGCCTCACAAGGGAGCGGACCTGGTCGCAAGACATCGTCTTGAAAACATTAAAAGCGTACGTTGCGTGAATGACAAAAGCGAGTATGCCATCTGCCCCTGTAGGCACTGTTATACGTGATTCGACACCGCACACGTTGTCAGTATAAATAAGTCGAGAGCTTCTGCAATCACCGTAATCTCCGTCCCTGCTTAAACCTAGGGCGGAACTAGACGTTACGCGCGATAAGCGACGCACCACCAAGACGTTACCATGTTTCAGCGAGGAGTCTCGGCAAACTATCAACTCGTGGGTGGAGACGCAGACAGCCGACAGAATCAAGGACCTGATTCCCCCGGGCGCCGTGGACGCGACAACCCGCATGGTCCTGGTAAGAACCTGTCGTGCCCCACCAGCCAGGGGCGGAGCAAGCTCAGATACACTGATGGGGCAAAGGTGTGCTTGTGTTCATCTTGTACTACAGTTTCCGTTCCTGTGAACGTGGCTTCTTCACCGGTGTGGTGCGGTGCCGCCATGCCATCCGACCCCGACAGGACATCTCTCGTCGCTGCAGAGACGAGGCATTTCTCACACAGGCAGCGAGACCCCACGCATTAAGCAAGGCTGAGCTGTCGTAAAGCAGGCCGCCTAGAACATCGCTGCATCGCAACATCGGAACATCAGAACATCGCTGCGGCCACCCGGCGGCCATGTGCACGTGCGCTAAAACCAGCCGAGGCTGCGTCTTGCGCGGCGTGCGTGCGTTGCGCCGATCTCTTCACCCCCTCCCCTCCCGCGTCACGGATGTGCCGTGTTTCGTGATGCTCCTGCCGGGATGTGGCAGGCTAAAGCTTCACACGCTGCGCATGCACGCGACTTCCTGCCCTGCGCTGCCCTGCTCTGGTGCGCATTGTCCTGTCCTGCCCTGTCCAGACTCCATTGCTACCCGCCCGCGGGGTACGCCGCGCCGGCCGCCTCCGCACTGGAAAAACCCGCGGTGGCCGTTTACACTGGACAGCGGAGTGGACGTGCCAGGCGCGTGACTTCAGAGGCTGCTGCCCCCCCTCCCCCCCCCGCACGCGTCGCCTGTTTTTGGGCCAAACTTAGAAGGCGCATTCGACTCTGTATCTATCGTCAGTTTGTTCTACGCACTGCGTCGTGGTGATGATGAAATTGTCGCGGGTCGCGCCCTGTGGGTCATAATTCCGCAATTACGACCGTAGTTGGACATTGGTGAGACACGTTGGTGTCACCAGAATGTCGGCCAGGTCAGTTGAGCTTGCGCTCACTTTGAGGAAGGCTGATGTGGTCGTCGCCACACCAGTCACGCCGTATTTTTACTTCATGATGTACGCCATGTGGACTGGATGGTATTGGTTGCTCGACGACACTCCCATTGTCTTTCAAATCACTGACAGTCTTCAGAGAAATGCGGCGAGTGCCACGGTTCAGACACGTGACGGGACTCTGCTGACCCTGGTCCAGTCCGATTACGCGGTCTCAGCCGCGCTGTTTACACGTTTCAGGCGAACGCGGCGTACTTCAAGGGCACGTGGGACTCACAATTCAAGCCGGACAGGACCAAGCCGGAGCTCTTCTACTCATCGAAGGAGGAAGTCACCTTCGTCAACATGATGAAGCAGAAGGGCCAGTTTAACTTTGGTAAACGGGAACTGTTCGCCTGACCGGGTCGCATCACGCGCCACCTTTTCGCTTGATTGCACAGGTCATTTTCCAGCGATGTCAGTGACACCAAAATACTATTCAAGGCGAAACATCAGACAACTCCATGCGCTGAAGCGCAGCGGTAGAGGTAGCTTCGTACATCCTGCGTCATGTTCATGATCTGGAGCTGCATGCGGCGATGGGGTCGGTTCCCCGCGCAATTCAAAACATCAGTCGGTTAGGCCTACTACGTCTGAGTGCACGACCTGCAGACGACTGAAATCGGATGAGGACTGATTGTTGTGCCCCAGGGTTTGAGAAAGTCACACGCAGGACTTGGCAAACAGCGTACTTTGGCACAGCCAGCCTACGGAACTGATTGCCGGCCATCTCACCCGCCGCTGTTTTGCCGCCAGGCGTGTCGGAGGAGCTGCAGGCGCACATCCTGGAGCTGCCGTATCAGGGCGACGAGATCAGCATGTTCATCCTGCTGCCGCCGTTCATGGAGGGCGCACTGGACACGACTGTGTCTCGGCTAACGCCCGAGCTGCTGCGCCAGACCATAGAGTTTATGTGGCGCGTCGATATCCACGTGCAGCTCCCCAAGTTCCGCATCGAGGAGAGCTACCAGATGAGCGAGGTCAGGGGCCGGGGCGGGGCGGAGCATCCGCACGCTGGTGGTGGTGGGGACCCCTTTGTGGCACCTAGGCAGGCTGCAACCGATCCGAAGTTGATTGTAATGGATGCTTCTTCGCCATGAACTGGTCACTGGACCTGAAGCTGAACCGTGAGGAGCTGTGGCCTGAGCTGTGCTCTAAATATTTGTGATGGTATTCCCATATGTTTGCCGTACGGACAATGCCATGAGATGACTCGAAATGACTGCGCTTGCAGCGTGCGGTGACCCGGAAAAGCAACTTAAGATTGCACGCCATGACAATCACTGTGTTTATTCGCACTGTATTGTGTATGCTCTACATCTATCAGCAGTCTGTGCAACAGCTGTCTTGGGTAACGTCATGGATTTTTTCTAGTTGATTTCAATGTTCCACGTTGGGCAGTCCTCACGAACACCTCTGACCGTGTCTCGCGGGCGTGCTTCAGGACCTAATCGACCTGGGCTTCGAGAACCTCTTCAACGCGTCGGCCGCCAACCTGAACGGCTTCTCGCACTCTGGCAACTTGGTGCTGACCAGAGCGCTGCACAAGTCCTTCCTGGAGATCAACGAAGAGGGCGCTGAGGCGGCGGCGGCCACGGCGCTCATCACCATGCGCACCAGTCGGCCCTCGCAGCCGGAGCGGTTCATCTGCAACCACCCCTTCATGTACGTCATCTACGACAAGATGATGCACACCATGCTGTTCATGGGCACTTTCGAGCACCCCAAGGCCGCGGCCCTGTCGCTGGACAAGAACGTCTGAGCCGGCGGCGGCGGCGGCGGTGGTCGAGACGCCGAGTCTTGGGCGCCGAAGGCATCTCGAGGCGTCGACGGCGTCGCGCGGGCCATCTGAATGTGTGATGCGTGGTGCGCACGAGTGTGGGTGTGGACGACCCTCACCGTGCGGGACTGGGTGCACCGAGCGGCGCGTGAGGGGTGGCCAGGGAAGCGCCGGGGACGGCCGCCGGGACAGTGGCGGTGCTCGGACGCCGGACGGCCGGTCACCGGCCCGGCGCAGTGCCCGCACCAGCACAAAGTGCACGCGCACCAGATCTGCTGTTTGCCGCAGCGTAATGATGACCTCCGGGCACCGATGGCCGGTGGAGAGGGCCGTGGGCCTGCCCTCGACTCGGCGGTGTGCATGGTATCGGGCGAACACCAGAGGCGGCCGCTGTTTCACGCCTGTGTTCTGCGCGAGTCGATGTGTGACGTGTTATTTTATCGTGGCGTGACGGAGGCGATGCAGGATGCAGATGCGTCCGGTGTCAGGCGCAAGTGCTTGATCCAAGCACTGTCGCCTCGTAAGCGTGAACTAAGCTGTTAATGACAATTTTAATAAAAATAAACGTTACATGGGCTGTAAAAGAATATCTCGCGCAGGTTATTTGATGTAATTTCTTAGAAGGCGTTCACTTGTTGGTCCAATAAACGTGGCACGTGATTGGGATTGATGGTTTACCTTTGCAACTTGGCCGACTTCATCTGTTTTTGGCTTACTTTGCTGTCTAGTCTCGTTATGCACCACATGTCGTCCAATATCGAGCAGAATGACCCGCTCGAAAGGGGCAAGGGCGGAGGAAGCTGTTTAGCTTCTGGGGGGGGGGGGGGGGGACAAGAAATGAACCGGCTTCCAAACATCGATACCTCAGGACCGAAAACGGCCTCGCGCAATGTGAGGAAGTGTCGCTGAAAACACGGTATGGCGCCACAACACAACGCTGAAAGCAAAATCCAATATGTCTAAATTGCTAAGTGAAGCCGGAGCCCGGTTCATTTTTTGCATAAATTCCATTCGGGTGGCGAATGTAGCGAAAATACACCCCAGCAAGTGCAATGTGAACATTCATGTTTTGCATTTGCAAGGAATCTGAGGCTTACTATTTTGCTCTGCCCCCCCCCCCCCCTGAATTTGCCATTGAACTTCACAAACAGTATGAAAACGACATGATATATTTTTCCACAATGGGCTATATCCGTAAAGACCGAACACGTGGAGTACATCGCATTATCGCCAATCATTCTGTACGCAGCATAGGATTAACAAATCAGATCAGGCGGCCCCGAAAATTGGTATAAGCCCGCGACTAGCGCATGCATAATTCGCATGGGAAATCAACCAGCGGAGCGGCAATTTTCCCCGGCGCTGCACCTTGCCCATCGGCGAAATCGCCTCCCGCACCGGCGCACGGTGCGCATCCACCGCTAGCCGCCGCCGTTCAGGGGGCCAGCCGCTCCAGCACCCAGCCGTCGTCACCACGCCGCACGCGAGGGTCGTCGTCGTCGCCGTCCACTGGCCGCCGGAACCGTATGCGGTCGTGGATGCGTGTCGACTGGCCCTGCCAGAACTCGACCTGACGCGGCTCGACGATGTAGCCGCCCCAGTCGGGCCGCGGCACAGGCGGCCCCTGCTCCGGGTGCAACTGGCGCAGCTCGGCCTCGCGCCGCTCCAGCTGGCCGCGGTCGGCGATCGTCGCGCTCTGGCGGAACAGCGCCGCACCGATCTGGCTGGCCAGCGGCCGCGAGTGGAAGTACGCGTCGGAGACGTCAGCCGGCAGCCGACGGACGGCGCCCTCCACGCGCACGCTCCGGTTCAGCGCCTCCCAGTAGAAGGTGAGCGCCGCGCGCGGGTTAGCGTCCAGATCGGCCGCTTTTCGACTGCCGTAGTTGGTGAAGAAGCGGAATCCGTCGCGGCCGAAGCCCTTGAGCAGGACGAAGCGGCCGGACGGCGCGCCGTCGGCGCTGGCCGTCGATAGGCACATGGCGTTCGGCTCCAGGATGCCGGGCGTGCGGGAGGCCTGGTCGAACCAGTCGCGGAACTGGGCGATCGGCTCGCGCGCCACCAGCTGGTCCTCGGTGAATGCCTCGCTAGGTGCCTTGTAGGGGTGGCGCATCGACTCGATGTTCACCTCCGGATCACCGACGCCTGAGTGGTCCATCTTGCAGTGACGAAGCCCGACTAGCGAAGTCACCGCTGCCGAGCGGCCGGCGCTGAACGGTGATATTCTGGGGAAAATGGCGCACAGAAAAATAGGAGACATTCAGCTCAGGAACGCATTCAGGCCAACGGCGCGACTCGCAGTCTTACAAGCAGGGTACGTATCTGTGGATACTGGCTGGTGAAATCATGCGGCAACAGCAATCATGTTCGCACCACGGCAGCCCTCCCCCGTTCCCGTCCTACTCTCAGACTGAATTACATAATACATAAGCCAGGTCTTGTCGACAATGTGACTGCGCATGCGTCCCAATGAGCCAACGATCTTGTCGTGTCCGAACACATGCTTCTGGGTTTTGATGTGAGCTGAGACCAACCAATCAGCTTTAAGTGAGGCCACGCCGCCAAAAACTTACTTTTTTCGGGCCACCCCTGTACGACTTCGAGGTTTCAAACTGCTTGGCCCTCAAACAAGTTCACGTAATGCTACCCGTTGCACACAGGCAGGTAATAAGGCATCAATATGCCCACTGCAATGCGCGCAACATGGAACTGAATGCAAATGAGCACTCGAAAGAATCACGAAGTATCAGTGATGGACGACTCAGTAGTACGTGCCTTGAATACCTTAATTTCGTTCAACGAAAGAAATCCCGGTCATACTGTTGCAGTTATCCAACTACCTAAACATTAATCAACGTGCGAATGTTAAGCCTGTGGCCCTTCAAACCTTTGACAGTTCAGTCACACCTGTGCAGTAACAACGGGTTCACAAGCGGTCACACAGTTCTACTCACGCGTCAACAATACGAGGCAAGAGCACCGCCCACCGCAGCGCAACTTGACGGTTGACAAACAGAACTGATCGAAGTGCGTTAAGTCCCAGACTAATGACGGCCTTGATATAACATTACATGACGTCATTGCCCCTTGGCGGTAAATACAGTAGTTGTCTTTTTTGTACAAAATTATGCTTTATAAATGTCTCTTTTTCTTACCATGTGATTACAAGCGCTTGTTTTCCATTTACAAGTGTAACTAGTCCTAAGAAGTCGCTTAAATTGCGTCACCTGTCATTATTGACAACAAAGCATAGCATCAGACCCATGGCCTGATTTTGAACCAACCCTTGAGCCGTGGTCGAAGTGGCGCAATTGTTTCGAAGGTTTCTGCGGGTTTCAAGCAAACATTCCGAGCAAAATCCAAGCAAATATTTCTTCGCTTTAATTTCCGGCGCGTGTTGTCATGATTAGCAATTCATTATCAACGCGTAATGCAAAAGGTTTCAAGTTATGTTGACCGGGTAGAATCGTTCTAAAATGGGCCGGGGTCAAGATATTGGGATTTTTGAATGATTTTGGGCCTGGGCTTCCGCTGCGCTGCCTAGGAAAACCAAGTCTGGGATATATCTGCCAAAACTTCCACAAACATGCTGAAAGCTCAATATCCATTGCAAGCCCCCCATCCAAAAGCCCTGTCTTTCTCAGCTGGTGACAGATTTTTGCCACTGCACTCACCAAATAGAGACAAGGAGTGGTGGCTTGTATTGTCAAAAGAGGCAGAAGTGGGCTACATTCCAATGAACTATGCAGCTTTTCTACCTGTAAGTACTGCACTTGTTATTGGATTGTGCCTTGTGTGTATGTTTGGTTGAATAAGTGCTAGCCTGTAAAGTACAGTACATTTCAGCCAAATTCCATTTGTGTTATGTTTGGTCAGAGAATAAGCAGTATTTGCCTAAGCTTCTATTGTATGGCTTGATGTAAAAATTGTAAATGATGTGCTAGATGGCTTGAAGGCATCCACAAAAAGCACTTTGTTGGTACTTTGTGCATGGATGTCTTAGTGTAGCTATTTGGTAAAATGTATTTTCTGTTTGCCTTCTGTATGCCTCCTAACAGCAAGTGTCCCAAAATTAGCAAATTGTGTTAAAAAGTGGTATTGCATAGAAAAGGTAGCTCTCCATATGGTTCAGGATGGCTTTTATGCACAGTGCATTCAGAAATAGCATGAAGACTTTGGTCACACTTGGATTATCTTTCTCATGGTACCTGTTAGTAACTAGGAAATGAACCTGTGCCAACACCCAGTTGTGCAATATTTCCACAGCTTATGTAGTTTTGTGTAATGATGTGAAAAATAGACATTTTAGAAATAGTGTATGGTCATAACATATTAGATAATGACATTGTTGCCAGTCAGCTAATTACATGTTATCCAACATGTAACAGACAGGTAAGCTAACCTTGCCTGTCCCCCATGGCCTTCAGTGCTGGCACGCTTGAGAAGACCACCATGTGACACTAGCTTTAAGGCCTCTATTACAAATGCAACTTAGCCGGATTGTGCTGTTGTGAATAGCAGATGCTCTGTAAAAAGAACACAGGTACCATACAGAGTGCTGATGAAATGTGTTATATTTTTACACATATGACACAAGAACAGCTTTGGGATTAGCCCCGAACTTTTCCATGCAGTCAATTTTTCCATCTTTTTCCTCCAATTTATACCCCATCTTTTCTACTCTACCCACTTTATACAACGTGAATTTGTTGAACATAACTACCTTGCTACCGTGCTGCCTGCCTCGCACAATGTACAAGCGCATTTATGTTTGGTGTGTGCCAGTGCTGAGTTGGGCACTGTGTCACAACTTGGACTGTCCGACTTGCCCCAGGCAACAACGCGCGACATCACGCAGTTCCTGCACACGGCCGGCGAGCGGCTGTCGGCGGGCCGGCTGCCAGCTGACCAGCGGGCGACGCAACTCAAGCGGCTAAACCAGCTGGCCGAGCGGTACCGCGCGCGAGACGGCAGCGGCGAGCGGCTCTTCCGGCTGGAGGAGCCGGCCGCGCGGCCCGTCTCTTCGCTCTCGCTGTTCCCCGAGGGCGAGCCATCGGAGCACGAGGTGGGTGGCGGAGCGGGGCGGACGTGAGAGGGCATGCTCTGGGCGAGCGGAACGGAAGGGATGTGGCCGAGTGTGGGTCTGGGCTGCCCGGGGCTCGTCGGTCGTCACCGGACGATTGTGATGTGAATCATTCTTGAATAAATATCTCTTACTTGAGTTCGATGTGCTGTTCGCGATATGCCTTATACTGGCTGCCTTCTCACCTTTCCCCTCATCTAAGAAATCAAACTTCGCAAAATTGTCAATGCATTTCTGAGCTGTGACCTAACGACCCATGGCCCTGCGCGCGATGTTCATATAACAGCATTTGTGTATGTACGAAATTTAACGAGCACCCATTTCATTTCTACCCACTGGATGGTCAGCTGGCGAGGACTCTGCACCCTCCCTGACTGAGCCAGCGGATCTTAAACTCGCCACAATGTTCCCCGATGAGTGCGATCTCGTGTGGACGCTGCTGGACGTCCAGCGCACTGGACGGCAGGCGCAGACCCTGCTTACCCCCCCCCCCCCCCGCTGTCATCCGTAGACGAACGGTGACTGCCGCGACCAGACGCCGACGCCGACGCCCGAGCCGGAGCCGGAGCCGGAGCCGGAGCCGGCCGTCACGCTGCCGGCGGCCTTCTCGCGCGGCCTGGTGGACCTGGTGCGGCAGCACACGGCTGCCAGTCACCAGGCATCACAGACCGCCGTCCAAGCGGTGCTGACCGCGCTCAGGGACGTCGCGCCCGCGGTCAAGGTCAGGCTCAGGTCAGGGGCACTCTCGGGGAGGGGGCTGGGGCGCGGGACGCTCCAGCCCTGGCCAGTGTGTTTCACCATTGGGTAGGATTTCAGTATGTACGTGCCATTGGAGAGCAAGCGCGGACGACTACCGAAAAAACGCGATGCGTGCGTGGCGAAACGTGGTGCGGGGTTTTGCCCGTCTGAAGTATGTGTATTTGTCTTCTTCTAGATTCAGGAGCCCTTGCTTACTCATTACCTTTCCTGCCGCGCTGGTTTGTTCTTGTTGCTCATTTTCTCCATAAAATGTATTCGGTACACAGTCACGTTTCTGTCCTTGTCCGCCCCGGCCGGCCTGCGCTACGTGCCGCGCCGCCCGCCAGCGCCACGCTGACGCGTACGCTGCGCCGCAGCCGGTGGCGGAGCTGGCGCTGCAGCAGCTGAGCTGCGCTGAGCGTGACGCGGCGGCGCTGCTGGACTCTCCGGACGGCCGCCGGCTGCGACTGGTACTGGACGAGATGACGGCCTGTGTCAACGACCAGCAGCAGCGCAGCTGGCGCCTGCACGACGACGAGCCGGCCATCATCGAGTACCTGCAGGAGCTGGGCACCATCCTGGTCAGGCGGGACGCGGTGGCCACGTCCCAGAGCGGTTCTGTTCTGCCCAGGGCAGGAGGAGGGAGGTTGGGGGGGGGGGGGGGAGTGGGTAGTGTGGAGCATCTGCCAGCCTCGCGCTGGCGGTGGTGTCAGGTGAGGGTGGCGAGAAGAGGGTATAGGAGCTGAGCCCCCACGTGATCCGGTCTCATGATGATAAGGATGAGGGATAGGGATCTCGGGGATGATCCAGTCTCAGGGCTTGATGCTTCGGAGATGATGAGCCGCATGGGAGTTGGCGGTTAGTTGCGCCGGGCATGTTAGGGCAGTTGCGCCGGGCGTGTTAAAGATCCGCAAAATAAACGACGGGCTATATCATGCGGTTTGTGATCCCCACATTCACGCATTTTTGCAAATGGTCGATTACATCTGAAACGCCACTCGCTCCAGGTTGTCAAGAATAGAGCAGCCCATAATGTTCAGTCTGGAGCACCGCCATTCATCAGTATCAAACGCTGTGCTGTCGACCAGGTGGCGGTTAGCTGTCCATCCCATCCCTGCTGACCAGGCCACCCTGTCTGTCCTGTCCCTGCCGACCAGGCCACCCTGCCCGTCCCTTCCCAGCGGACCAGGCCACCCTGTCTGTCCTGCCCCTGCTGACCAGACCACCCTGTCCGTCTCGTCCCTGCTGACGGGGGCACCTTGTCCCTCCCGTTCATGCTGACCAGACCGCCCCGTCCGTGCTGTCCCTGCTGACCGGGCCACCCTGTCCGTGCCCTCCCTGCTGACCAGGCCGCCCGGTCTGTCCCGTCCCTGCTGACCGGGCCGTCCATCGCCCGGCAGACGGACGCCGATCCGGCGGTGTCGCGGGGTGTGCTGGAGGCGGACCAGATGGCGGCCGTGCTCTCGCTGGCGCAGCTGTTCCAGATGGAGCCGCGCTGGATCATCCGACGGCCGCTGACGCACGCGCTCGGCCTCTGCTGCGGCCTGCACCGGCAGGCCGTCAGCCTGCTGCTCAGCTCTGTGCTGCCCTCCGAGCTGGCCAGGTGAGCGCCGCCGGTGCAGTGGTGCCGACCGGGGGCACGCGCGGCGGGCTGGGGTCTTCAGTATCAGACACGGTCCTCAGCACTAACTGGGGCTCTCAGCGCCAGCCAGGTTCTGAGACCTAGGTGGGGTTCTCAGTATCGGCCAGGGCAGCTGGGGTGCAGCCCTCATGACCAGCTGGGGTGCAGAATACATTTGGCTTTTGCTATTCAGATAATTGTCCCCTTCTGATGTTCTGTCGTCAGCCAGTTCGGTCCCTTACGCCCCAGCACAGGGACTGGATGTTGACTGCCTTTCGGAGTCCTTCTCTCCGCCCTTGAGTTTAGGCAAAAGGCACGTGTCATTTGTTTGGTCTGTGAGTGTTTACTTCCTTCGGCAGCGTACTGTAGAGATTGTCAGCACAGCGCCCCGTCTGACCCGTGTCTCCGCCCCCGCCGGCAGGGACATGCAGAGTTCTGTGACGGACGACATCCGCCTCAGCCACTCGGCGCTGCTGCTCGCCATGATCCTCTCCATGGGGGAGAAACTGCCGCACTGTCACACCGGTGAGTGAGGGCCGCGCTCGGCGCTCGGGAGGCTCAGGAGGCTGGCGGTGGCCGCCCAGCGTGGCCGTCGGCCGGACGAGCCGCGAGGGGTACAGGACTGGCCCGTAGACACGTCTGGCTGCGACTGCCCTCACACGAGTGGCTTACGGCGCCGTGCCACGTGCTCGTTACTGCGCTCTTTTGGGTCGTTTATGTCGCTTCACATGTTTTGATGCTGTCTTTTACAGCTCTCTTTCGTGACGTTTTTACTGACCGAAAATGGACAGAACACCGTCAAAGCAACAACCCAAAAACGGCCCGGGCCGTGCAGTGTCTGCTCGTCGTAGCTGACGGACAGACTCGGACCCCGGTTGCTTCCCGCCTGCCGGCCTGGCCTGAAGGCCCGCCCCGAACGGTCGGCCGCCCGACCCATGACGCGTCTGCTGCCTCCAGAGATGCTGGGCATCGAGTTCGTGACGTTTCTGCTCTCCACGCTGGAACAGCCGCCGGCCGACGTCTCCGACGACACGGTCGACCTCCTGCTCACCGACCTGCTGGCGCTCAACCTGCAGTACGAGCTGCCGGCCGACAATCAGCTGCTGCTGGCGCTGCGGCAGCGCAGCAACGCGCGCGTCTTCACCGAGAAGGTCATGCTGCTCTTCAACCGCGAGGGTGAGCGGGCGCGGGATGAGAACGGCGGCAACTGGGTATCCAGGCTGGTGGGGGGTGTGGGGGAGGGAGTACAGTTGGAGACCGGTGATGGATGGACATTGCAGGCGATTCGAGCGTGCGTCGGTGGTGGTGTACTGCCACGGTGGCCGGTGACGAGAAAGGTCTGGTGTTTGGGCTTCTTTGTTGGTGCGTAAGACTGCGCCGAGTGGATTGTCAGATACGCTGCACTGTTAGCAGGAATCCTGCGGAGGTCCTGCCGGTGAGCGGCGTCCGGGCGGCCGCCCGCCGCTGCTCCGGCTCTGCCGGTCGGTATGTCGCGGTGCTGCGCTGGCCGCTGGCACTCGGCGCGCCCCGGCGCCTTACCCTCCGCCCGCCCGGCAGAGGACCCGGTGCGCGTGTTCGACCACGAGCCGGCGCCGGCGCACTCGGTGGTCAAGCTGATGGTGGACCTGTTCTCCGAGCCGGCCACCAGCCAGCTCTTCTACACCAACGACGTGCGCGTGCTGCTGGACATCGTGGCGCGAAATCTGGCCGATCTGTCGCCGGGAGACGCGGTGAGAGAGAGGGGGGCGTCTTGGGAGGTGAGAGAGCGCTGCTCGGAGGCGGGGAGGGGGCGGCCGTCTGCGGCGCGGGAGAGCGGTGAGGAGAGGCGGCCGTGGGGAGACGGGAGGCGGGGAGGGGGCGGCCGTCTGGCGCCGGGAGACGCGGTGAGAGAGCGCTGCTCGGAGGCGGGGAGGGGGCGGCCGTCTGGCGCCGGGAGACGCGGTGAGAGAGCGCCGCTCGGAGGCGGGGAGGGGCGGCCGTCTGGCGCCGACCTAGCGACGCGCCAGTGAGGGCTTTGGAGCACTGACGTCAGGCTCAGTCGTCAGGGGGCCACTAGTGGGCCCCTCGTCCCTCAGACGGGACGGGATGGTGTTCCGACGTCATTGAAAAGGTCGCATGGCGCCGCTGAGAAAACATTCGGGCGTCAATGAGATGCTGGTCTGGCTTCACTGAGTTAGTGTTCTGATGTCAGTGGAGTAGTGTTCTGACGTCAATGGGACAGTGTTCTGACGTCAATTGGGCAGTATTCTGACGTCGGTGGCCTGTGCGCGCTCCCTGCGCTGACGTGGGTGGTGAGCCGTGTTCATGAGCGCGTGGTGCCTGTTCTGACCAGGCCCGGACAGTGCCCTAACGACGTTGGGACAGTGCTCTGACGTCAGTGGGACAGTGCTCTGATGTTGGCAGTCTGTGTGCGCTCCCTGCGCTGACGTGGTGGGCCATGCGCGGCGCCTTTCATGACGTCAGTGGTCCGGTGTGCTGACGGCGCCGCGGTCTGCGCGCAGCGGCGGCACGAGTACCTGCGCCTGTGCGAGCGGCTGCTCTCGTCGGCCGGCTACGCCGAGCACAGACACCGGGCGGCCGACCTGCACCGCTGCCTGCGCCGCATCGCCGCAGAGGACGAGCTCGAGGGAGACCCCACGCAGCCGCGCGACCGCCAGCTGGCCGCCACCGCGCTGGCGCTCCACGCGGATCTGTTCCAGACGACCTGACCTGACCTGACCTGACCCGGCCATCGCTGGCTGCCACTGCGCTGGCACTGCGCGCGGACCTGTCCCAGGCAACATGACCTGACCTGACCTGACCTGACCGCCGCTGGCCGCCACCGCGCTGGCTCTGCACGCGGATCTGTTCCAGACGACCTGACCTGACCTGACGGGTGATGACCTGACATAACCTGAATCAAACAAACCAACGTCTGGGATCGAACGTCAGCCGTCCGCTGGCGCGGCGCACGGAAGGTGTGATGTGTGAGCCATGGTGACGAGGATATGCCCCAGCCACATGCAAGGCGACGCCCGGGCCTGAAGCGCTAGAACAATGGTGTTGGCAGCGTTACAGACGTGGTCGTGCCACTCTGCGATAGGGTAGCGTAAGTACGTGAGGAGGCAGCATCTGTGTAGGTAGGACAGGTTTGCCGACGCGTAGGCTGTGGCTCCAGCGATATAACTGAGCAGTCTAAATGAGTCGAGGCTAGGCAGGATATTACGTAATGCGCTTCGCTTGTACCGCTGCATGAGCTGCAATAGGGCCGCAGTGATGAATATCTTTGGGTCTTACGTCGTGGTCCAGGACGTGCTATGACGGCCTGCGCGCTCACGGCAGCGTCTCGCTGCAAGCGCCTTGTCCGCGGACTGCCGGGCAGAGCCCGCGCGCCCTCTGCAGCGGCCGCTTGTCCGCCAGGGGCGCCAATGAGCCGGCGCCCCCGCTCTAGTCTTGTGCATCTCACTAGTGCTGTATCGCCTGCGAGCTTTGTTCGCCGTCGCCGTGTTCGCGCGTTTACTTGGGATATGTGCAGCTGATGTAGTCATTCGACGTTCAGGTTTGATGTCCATCTTGGGGTGCACGCAACTGAATGAGCTTCAAGCAGCGCGTGTGGCAATTAAGACTGTTTATGGTCTTGGCCTGCCTGCAGCCGGACCTCCGCTCCGCCCGTGGAGTGGGTCGGTCTGCCTGCTGACGAGGCCACTGCCCGCTGCCGCCGCGCCGCCGGCTCCCGTGTGGCGAGTCCCCCCGGCGCCGTACGCTGTGGACCCCGGCCACATGGCCCTGCCCAGCCAGGAGCCTCGGACTCCCGCGGGGTTGATGTTGCTCCTGTCGCGGCCGCTGTGGACGCCGCATTTTCCAGTGGTGGTCGGTTGTGCGCTGTTGCTTCGAGCCAGCGGTCCTCGGCCTCGCGCCGCAAATACACGCATAGCTGAAACATCGGGTCTGCTTCGCGACTCCACGCGTGTTCGGAGCAGACAGACAGACACAATGTTATATGTGTATATTAAAGATGCTGACAATCAGGCGGCAGTTGGGGTGCGGGCAAAGCGGGCCGACCAACTGGCGTTCGCAGTGATGGGCGCATCTCGGGCAACCAGTCGAAGGTGAGGATTGGGTTCGAGCTTGGCGATGCTATGAGTCACAGCGACCGATAGGCAGGGCATGCTTATCACCGTAGTCACCGCGACCAATCGGGAGAGGGACAGGTTAACGTCACTCGAGACACCTGCCAATCGGAGGCAGGGTAGGCTGCACACCACCAGGCGGTGACTGGCCGAAGGTCAACTAGGACTGACGTCGCCAGACAAAGCGACCAATCGGAGGCAGGGTACAGTGACGTTGGCGACAACAACGACCAAACGGAAGCAGGGCAGACGGACATGGCCGCATCACTGGCGAACATTGACACGGGACAACATTCAGCCGCCACCCCATGCACACCTCTCGAAAACAAGGGACGTCATGAGAACTGCAGAGGCTTACTTGTGCTCATTGCGCGTATGCTCACTGTTGGCCCCGTTCGGTGGTGAATCAATCACGGATCACCACGTGAAATGTGTAGCGAGCCGAGGCACGCGAGTGAAGGTAAAATGCTTCGGTACGCCTCATCGGCGCCACCTCATTTTGAACGAAAGATGACATAGGCATTGGCATGACGTAAGCCCTTCTTCCCGTAATCGTTGTGGTTAAAATGCAAAAATACAAAAATATATTAACCCCGAGTCCCCACTTACTGGAGACAAGTCAATAAGCGCCACATCAACAGCCGCTTCAGGGGCAATGGCGTGACGGGACAGATCGCGGGGTTTTGGGACGCCGCTGTTGACAATGGACCCGTATCGCTACCTCAATCCTACAATGCTAACCGCTTTGGTGACGCAGGGACGCGGGAAACAGGGCGTGGGAAGGGGGGGGGGGGGGCTGAACCTCCCAAACGAACATTGAATATTGACCCTGATGGGCGTTGAGAGGTAAGAAATAACCAACCAAAAATGGCAATCGGCCACGAACCTTCGGACTTTCCGTTGCCTCTGTGGTACTGGCATCTTTCACATCGTTGTAATGCGCAACTTGAGCTGGAGGGACTCCAGCGTGTGGACGCCAGGAGTGCAGACGCTTAGCGCATGTCGTACGTGCTTCTCAAGCTGCCAGAGATGCGCGCACGCGGAGCCCTAGAGGACTGCAAGCCTTGGGTAAACCCGTGGGTACCCATATGAAATAGGCAACGGGCCGCGTTGGGTACAGATTTGGGGAAACTACGGCGTTGGGTAAAAGTATAAGGAAGGCATGTACGAAATGTTAGGGAGATACTTCAACACACAATACATTGTAACATACTGTACTTTTAGCCAGGCTTAGCTCCATTCACACTACCTCAGCGCTTTTCAACACAAAGGAAACTGATGTGAAGGGCTATGAACTTTCTTTCATTGCCTATTTAGAACCAAAGTGACAGCAAAGTGCTGTCGGATGGATACCCGATTGACTTTTCATGGGCGGCGGGTGGAAAAGGCGGGGTGCAAGCTGGATTTCGCAACAAAGAGAAACACTCCAAATTTGAAATTGAAAAACTCATTTTATCGCGCCTGTGGAGCGCCCAGCTTCTCGCATGGCGTATAGCATCACGTGTTTACATCACATTTATTTGAACGTGTTTATCCCAGTTTGCGTCAGCATTCATTCACGTACAACTTAATGCATCACAGTTTGGCAGGGGACGAGGGCACGTGCCCTCCTGAATACATCTTGATATATTTAGCACAATAAGCAGCGGATGGATTGGGCAAAGGAAATCTTATCCGTTAAGGTTCTACCGCGCCCCACGACATGCGCGTATCTCTGCCAGGTTGGGAGCTACAGATTGCGCGCCAACTTCGACACCCCCTCACACCCACAGAGGTCATTCCACCACGTGAAGTTCGCGAAGGGCGACCGCGACCACTCCCGATTGCCGTGTTCTCAGCGACGGGCGGCTGCGACCACACGCTAACGCCGTGTTCTCAGCGAGGGGCGGCTGCGACCACACGCTAACGCCGTGTTCTCAGCGAGGGGCGGCTGCGACCACACCCGATCATCGTGTTCTCAGCGACTCTGACGCGCTTCAGTCATCCCAGTCTCCCTCCCCCCCCCCCCCATTTCAAAAGAGGTGGCCTGCTGGAACTGAGATATCTTACTTGATATGCAGGATACGCATGTGGTACATGTAGGTAAAGCAATGCAACAGCTGCGCATAGTGCCGTTACAACAGCGGGCGGGGCATTGTTAATAAACCAACGCGGGTGTAAATAAATCATGCACGTGTTAACAGAGCTGCATGCATAGACTAGTACACCACTCATTACCCAGGTACGCGACCTACCACAGATCACATTCACAAACGTATCCACAGCGCATTGCGGGGAATGCGTTTTGGCGACTGATGGCCGTTCTCGAGGCCGCGATAGTTGGCTCCACGCGGCGCACAACCGGGGACGACGGCCACACCGCCTCGGGCGACCACAGCAAACTCACCGTGTGGCTCTGGCGCTCACCGCGGTGACGCTACAGAGCGGCTCCGGTGCTCCTCGTGGCGTCACTATAAAGTAACTCAGGTGCTTACCGAGGCGCCAGAGAGTAACCAACGTGCTCACAGAGCCAGTCCTCGCAGCAGCGCCAGGGAATAACTGGCGCTCCCGGCGGCGCTAAAGAATAACTGGCGCTCCCGGTGGCGCCAGATAATGGCCGGTAATCACGGCGGAGCCACAGAAGCATTCTGTTGTTGACAATGGCGCCAGCACGGCTCGGCGCTCACAAATGCGCCAGAGAAAAACTATGGCACCCACCGCGGCACCCGAGGAGGTCCGTCTACGCCGGTGGCAGCGGCGGCGGTCTTCTAGCCTGTCGCGGCCACGGCCGTAGCGTGGCACCCTACCTCGCTCGCCTCCTCGCCGGCGGGCGGCCCACAACTACGCTACGTTCGGGACCGACGTCCGCGCAACACGCGAGACACGAACAACAGATCTAGCCGACTACCGCTACAACCTAGCAAAGCCAACTGGCACTGACAGCGTGGGGTGGGCCGACCAGCTCGACAAACACACACGCACGTACGCACGCACGCACGCACGCACGCACGCACGCACACACACACACACACACACACACACACACGCACGCACGGATCGCCGGCGGCAGGGGCCGCAGGCAGATATGCAGCCGAACGAGCAGGACCAACCGACCCCGCTTGCGTCTGGTCTGTTTTTGCAGACCAGACTAGCAATGCAGACTAGCAATGCTTTGCAACTGCAGACTAGCAATGCTTGGCGACGGCGCTAAGTGGGTTCAGATCGACATCACAGCTCAATATAAAGAGCACACTTCCGTGCGACCGAAGGCGACTGAATAGCAAACATGGCGCGTGGATGAACACAGGCGTACACGCTTGGTCAGGATTGCAACTCACGGGGCGTGCTGGTACAGGAAATAGCAAAGGTCTATAGCGTCAAACGATCGATTGACTAATACATGTGGACTAAAACTACCGACGCGAGCAGCTAAAGCTAATGCTGCGCTTTGACACTTAATGGCCTCGTTTATCGCGCGAATGCACACACAAGGCAAAGCCTCTGCACTAGCACCGAAATGTTGCGAAACTGACGCGTTCTAACACACTGACTAAAATAAATATCTCGCACACGGTCGCATATAGATCATAGCTTCTCGTGGCGATCACCACACGTCATGATCATCTGGTTCAGTAAAAACAGCTGCCCACTGTCCACGCCCGGCCCGGCGAGTGGCCTGCACGCGCCGGAGACCGGGCCGCTGGCCTGGCCAGGGTACGGGCCGTGTCAGTGGCGGCCGGCCCGGGCCGGTGATGGCACCGGGCGGCCCTCCGACGGCAGGACCGGGCGAGAGCGAGAGCGCGCGCGGCACGCTGGTGCGCCGCGGCTGGCTCTCGCCGCCGAATAGACGGCGGAAGCTGCAACAGGACGGGCAGCGCGCGTCAGTGGCCTGGCTTCGAGCGCGCGCGCGCGCGCGCCGACAGCGGCCCCACCCCGGTGGTAACGTAGCCCTCCCAATCGACTAGGGGGAGAGGCTAAGTCAGATGTGTGGTCCGAGTTGTCGACTGCTGTCTGCTGTACATATGCGATTCAAGCACGGGTTCTTACAGCAGCTGTACGGCAACGCACACCAGTAAAGACTAGATGCCACACAATCCAGCTGTTATTTTCAGGGTTACGGATACTAAATCACATTGAATAAGCAAGAATAAATGCAATACTATTGAGGCATATAGAGAAATGAGATGCTGTTCGAGCAGATTGAATGCAAACAGACGCATTAAAAGCCTGCGCAGCCAGGGGTGCGAATGCTGTTTGTATGCGTGCGACACTGAACACCGACAGCTAAAACAAATGTGTAAAATACAGAAAGAACTCAGCATAAAGGCATGCGCAAAACCGGAAATAAATCAATACTTTCCCTTCGTTTCAGGTACCTAATTCCTTCACTCATTCATGCATTCCTCTCCCTCCTATTCATTCCTTCATTCGTGCGCCTAGCTGCACCGGGCAGCGATTACTTTCCCCAAAAGCAACATATCCTTATCACGAGTCAGACGTTACTGCCGATGTGGCAGGAGATTTAAAACCGACACTTAGCTGGTTCCTGATCATTCCGAGCGTCGCCCTCTGCCACAGACCGGCGCCGCACGGCCCACACCGCAGACCTGCACCGCACGAACCAGCACCCGTACCGTCTGAACCCACGCCTGTACCGTCCGAATCCACACCTGTACCGTCCGAATCCAGACTTGTACCGTCCGAACCCGCGCCAGAGTCGGCCGGGACGCGTAAACGGGTTCACTGAACCCACACTGGAACCCTCTGAACCCGACAGTCCACCGCCATACCAACTCGTGCATACACACGTTGGAACCCCCTGAACTCGACGGTCCATCGCCATACCAGCTCGTGCATACACATGTTCACTACTGCCGAACCAGCGCTCGAGCGCACCGACCCCACAGCGGTACCCAGCACCGTCAGAAGTACCCGGACTGGCCGCCCCGGACGACCCACCCCAGCTGGAGCGAGTCGGCGCGCGCCTGGCCGACGGCGCGCGCCCGGCCGGCGGCCGCCTGCCAGCGGGCGCGGCGCGTCACATCCTCCAGCCGGCCGCCCAGTGACGACCACCTGCAGCGGCCGCGAGGTCAGGGCAGCGGGACGGGCACGGTAAGGGCCCGGAGCGAGGGAGGAGAGGCCCGGCAGAGAGACACAGGACAAGACCCGATTGCCGTCGACACCGAGGACAGGTATGCAGCAGGGGGTTCGGGACAGAAGACCATCCTCAGACCAGGTATTCCCCCGCGCTTCTACAGTTTTCGCTGTGAGCTGTATATGTGGTGTTTTAAGTGGGCGAGAAACGCTACAATCTACCGCTTTACCACAGTCGGCTTTGGACGCCATAAGTTCGCCTAGCATAAACCACCTCACCGGCAAGGCACTGCCTAACCGTAACTTCCTGGACAACGCAACGAACAAAACGCATCATATTTGCAATTCAACGATGGTGCAATAATACGAGAAAGATGTGTAACTTAAAAGAGACGAGCGGAAAGAGATACAACACAACCAATTGTGCCATGCCCACATCAAGCACCGGCTGCGCGAAGCTACCAGCCGCGCTCCAGCGATCTCCGGGAGGGAACGGAGGCGGCTGAGCGCGCCGGCCCGATCGGCGGCGGTCACATCGACGCGCCGCGGCGGGCACCGGCCGCCGGGACGGCCGAGCAGGCGGTTGCACACACTGGCAACGGCACGACGCCCGCGGGCGGGCGCGCGGCTGACCTCTCACGCGAACGGCAGCCGATCAGCGACCGCCTGGGTCGACTCCAGCGCGCGGCGTACCTGGCGCATGATGCTGCAACACCGGCGCGGGCGCGCGACCGTCACAGCGCCGCTCGGCACGCTCCAGTTCGCTCGCGAGCCAGCCGTCCAGCCATCACATCGTCCAATGACGGTCACCGGACAAAAAGTCAAAAGCCGGGAAGTCAAAGGATAAAAAGCCAAATGAAATGAAGTTAAATGACAAGATGTCAAAAGAGAAAAATTAAACGCAAAAAGTCCAATAGGCAGCGTTAAAAGGGTTACAAGTTAAATGGATAAAAAGACAGACGGCAAAAAGCCATAAGGACAAGCCCAATGCTAAAAAGTCAACATATAAAAGTCAAATGTAAAACGTCACGTGGGGTAAAAGCCAAAAGGGATAGAGACCGCTCGAATAAGTCTTCCCAATCGTCCCCCACTTCCTCCACTTACAGTAAAAAGGGGAAAAAGACGAGTCTAAATCCAAGTCAACATGAAAGAGGTATCTGGAAGCCCTCAAGCAAATAAGCTAACAAAAACCTCGTCCATTGCGAGGGGCACTTTCAGTTCACATTCCGGACACTCAAAGGTCTCAGGAAAGCCACGACGCCTCTGCGTTTCATTTACTTTCAGGCTAGGTCTCCTTTATATTTCAGTATCGCCCCTTGCACGCCTGCAGGGGCCCTTTAGTTGCTGGTGTGGTCAGGGATGGCACAGCAGGGAGGGGCAAGAGGGCAGCTACCCACCCCATCATGGCACTAGTAGACCCAAATTCCTGTTCATGAGACCCTTTCTGCATCAAGTCGTGAATTTTCCTGAGTCTTCTTTACTTAATGTATCGACTCACAGAGTGAATGCAAAACTGCGTAGCTAATTCCATCTCAGTGCCTGCTCATACCATTGCGATTTTTAAAACTTTTGACAAGATAGCCTTTACAATGTTAGTACCTGCGTACCGTATGTATAAAATTGCTGTTTTTTGTACTTTCATCATCTCAGTAACCTAACAAATTGTGTTGCATATGCCTTCCCAAACTCCAAATGACCGAGAAATGCAAAACGCACTTTCTCGAAATTAGGGAGAAACATGGCACATTTCTGAGGAGTTAAAACACAAAATGGTGATACAACTGGTACGCAGGTTCCCTTGTCTTCTTTCCGCCAGCTCAGGAGACCCATTAGATAGCCTCGCCCAGGAAGTTCTTCTACGAGGAGGCTCCCTTTTGTCTAGAGGGCCCGAAACCACCTGAAAAAGTTTTCCCCCATTCCAAAATACGTGACACCGCTCGTTGCGGGAATGCTCTTTTATCACCATGGTTTCCTATGGTTGAATGGATCTGAAGCAGACAAGCTAAAAGCCTCACATCGCCCCCCCCCCCCCGGCCTGGTCTTCAGTTTCTCGAACTTTGGGAACAAAGTGGGCCAAACCTGGGGAGAAACCTATTTGTTGGCATATTGTGGAGTAGCCTGGGCCATTTTTTTTACTGTACCCCACCACACATTCATTTTGAGAAACTACGCCGCTGTCCTTACCATCATACGAGAGGGCCCTTTTTCGATCAAATGTGGGACACAGTCTATGCTCCTTTCGCACAGTCACAAAGCCGATAAATGGCTTGTTCCACTGGCTGAGGAGGGCGCGCTTCATCCCCTTTTTCCCCTCCCCGCGAACACCTGACCAGAGGCCCTTGGTGGGTTTGAAACCCTGTGAAAGCCAGAAAAGATGATTTTTATAGCCTGTTTGGCTAATGTCCATCTTACGTGTATCCGTTTCAACGCTTTGTTATCTGGCTTTTTTTACTTTCATTCTGTTTAGACTATTTGACCTTTATCGCTTCTGACTTTTTGGCTGTTTGACTGTTTGCATTCGACTTTCATCCTTTTGACCTTTTGCCCTTTGACTTTTTGTATCTTGGACTTATTGTCTTTAAGCCCTTTTTGCATTTGACTTTTGTCCTCATGGACATTTTACCCTTTGATATTTTGCTTTTCCTTTCGACTTGCTTTCCTTGTGACTTTTTGTCCTATACCTCCCAATGGCAAACGGCCAACGCCGACCTGCGACGCTCGGTCCAACGGCCGCCACCAATCACAGCTCGATGGTACGACGGTCGGAGCAATGTCCGGCGCTGGGATTGGTCTGAGGCCGGGCCGTAACCAATCACAGCGAGGCGACGAACGACGGCCGGCCAATGTGCGACCAATCACACCCCGGCAACACATGAGCCTCAAGGTCGTGCGGTATGATTGGCTACAAGCCGTATCGACAGAGCAGCTGCCAATTACAGTCCAAAGACACCACCGTCGGGTACTGTGATTGGTCGACGATTGTGCCGACCGAAAAATCGCCAATCGTAGCCCAACGCACATCGGCACGCGTCCGTGTCCAATACCGTTATTGGCCGGCGGACGTTCCGACCGCGCGCAGTTTTGATTGGGATGTCGTGAGCGCTTCGTAGCTATATCGAATGAAAAATGCAGCGCAGCTCATGCATTACGGAAGCCTCCCACGTGTGGTGCAAACTAGAGTAGGCACCGTAGGGCCATGCTCTGTCCCCCTTCCCCAAACAACTTGGACGCGGTTCCTACGGTAGTGCTTTGCGCCTGTCTCTGCTGCTTTCGTTATTTACGCAAAACAACATGTCACGGAAAAACAGTTACACACAAACAGCAGAAATGCAACCAAATTCCATGAATGGCGACCGCCCTTCAAGCGCGCATAATCAAGCAATTTATTGAAGCGAAATGGATTTGACCAAGGCACGCTCGCATGCCGGTGACATGGTTCAGTTTTTTCACAACGATCGACCCACACCCTGAATTCTGACTAATGCTTTATATCGACAAAGTCATCACGTTACACGCTGCCGTTTTCTATCCTGCCACATGGTGGCCCACTCATTTACAACATAACGCTGACGACTTCGCCGCTACCAAATAATGACATTTGCGTCTCCTTTATGGGGCTACAAGAGCGCATTAGACACCTGAGGCAATGTTCTACTGACCAATCTACTGACCAATCTAACGCCGGTTGACGCCCTGAAAAACTTCATAACAGTGGCCATGAAACGTCACAGAACAGCAAACAAATATTTGTCTTTTCTGAATATTCAGATAGCATTCCTCGGAAACTCCGTAAACGGGCGCGTGATTTCTTAATGTTTAAACTTTGCAGAAGTGTTACAGTGCAAACAAAACTCAGCAAAAATAAAAATACTGGACGAGCCAGGTGAGCATGGCGCAGCCTACATCTTTCACCCGTTAACGGTTTTAGAAGGCCGGGTACCTTCAAGCTTCAACAGTCTTATGTCACGTGATGCTGGTGACTTGCGAGCGAGGGAAATACACAGCTTGGGCGAGCTATTTTGAGGTTAGGGCTTCGGGTAGCTAACCGGCAAATATCTGCAATATTTGGACTGAAAAATTGGGGAAAACACGACGTTGAGCGTTCCACGCACAGTACCACCTGAAGAAGCATAACACGTATGACTGCACATGACGAAGAGTGTCTACCACCACGCGCGGGACGTGTCTACATAGGAGGATAAACGAGACAACTCCACATGGAGAAATAATCCTTAAACGTTCGAAGAGTGGACCTATCAGCGGGGAGAAGCGCTATTCAGCAGTTCCGACAGGGTGAATGTATGTACACATGGACGCAGAGCTGCTCAGCGGTTCAAACGAAGCACGCCACGTAGGTGCAGAAACACTCCTACGCAGCAGACTGAACGGTGTGATCACGCAGAGACTTCCCTCAGTACAAGCGGGCGCAGACGGCCTCCCCGTAACGCACTCTCTTCGACGGGACGGGTGTGAGGCAAACGTGGTACGACTCCACTAGCAGAGCCAAGGGTGGCACTTTCTAAAATCGGTGGGTGGGGGGATGAGCCAATATAGCTGACCTGATCTACCCCAAATCCTTATTTCTCCAAGATTTCGGTCACTCCTTGGCACTTGTGTTCTCCAAGGCAACTACGACAGGTTTAATAGGTTCCCAAATTGTTTTGATGTTGCGGAATGACATCCTATTTGAAGCCGATGTGACAGTGAAACGTTTGGGTACCCGACACCAGGTGAGCAGCCTGCTTGAGATGTGCTCGAAAAGGTTGTCGTTTCTTAGCGCCTTGACCCCGGTCGTGGCAGTTATTTGGGCTTAGGGGCACGTCGCCGACATAGGTTATTTCGCGTCCGACCCGCTTCACACCTGCCATCGCGGCCCGTGAGATGATGGCAACAAAATCCGCCATTAGACCAAACCGTAGTCCGCATGCCTGTCACACTGTTTGGGGAAGGGGACAGGGTATTTTACACAGGGGGACAGGGTACCACGACAGCCTAAGCCTCGTGTAGTCGTGGGAATATGCATGGATTGGTTGGCAGTTCCCGTTATTTCCAACCCTCCGTATCGACACAACAGAAACGACGGTCGCATGGTGGCAAGCGAAGGTGGTGGTACTGTCTGATATTGCTTGCAGGCGGGGGGCCGGATAGGCCGCCCCGTCCCGACACAGGGGCAATGCAAGGACACTCTGCATCACACGGCGTGCACGATGCATGCGCGCGCCCCATACAGAGCTCAGTCACCGCATGGGAACCCCGCAGGGGACCGACGCCAGCGGCTGGTACCAAACGACAGTCCAGCTACTTTCTACACGGGCCCGCTGAGAGCTCCAAGCAGTCTGCGCAACGCGTCGCCCCTGTGCCGACTCGCAGCATCTTCTGCAGTCACATGATCACGAGTAGCTGCCGGGGTTGGCAGGCCGAACCCAGCCGCCCGGGACCCGGACCTAAGACCACCGGCGGCCGGTCCGGTCCGTCCGCCAGGGCAGGCCGAGCCCACCCGCCCAGGACCCGGATCCAAGACCACCCACGGCTGGTCCGGTCCGTCCGCCAGGGCGGGCCGAACCCCACCCCCCAGGATCTGGACCCAAGACCACCGGCGGTCGGTCCGGTCTGTACGCCAGGGGCCGCAGTGCCTCCGGCGCCGCCCTGAGCGGCGCGGCCGGGTGCGGCGCGCCGCTCGCTGCCCGCCAACTGCTCAGAATACTCACAGACGGCGGATTCCCGACTCGGAGCGTTTCCAGGGCGCGTCGTCCGGGTCCTGCGGCAGCGGCCCGTGCACCGGCAGGTCCTCCTCGCTCACCCTGCAGGTGGACGCACCGGCGCTCGCTCAGGCCGGACGGCCGCGCACGAGGGCCGGCGGTACTGGCTCGGCCCGAAACTGACCGCCCGCGCAACACTGGGAGCACTATCCGTGCCCAAGGGCACATGGCCGGGGACAGGTGTGAAATGGGACAGCAGCTCCTATATAAATAGACAGGGAGATCGTGGTGCTTTACAGAACTGATACTCAGCCCGCCACACGAAGTCTCCCCCTGTCCCGTCAAGCGAAAACGCTCTTGTGCAATGTAAATAGTTGTTTGTAAACCCAATGACACCAACAAGTCCAAAACAGTGATACTTCTAACGATACACTCAGTCAAACGCGCGATTCGAGCAGTCGCTAACAGTCCGACACGTGCGCCCTGCCGCGAGCGTCTCTTGGTTGACTCCCAGCCCAGCGGTACCTCAGACCACCACGACCACACGACAGCACTGACTTTTGCTGGTCGAGCTCGTTCTGCAGCGATGGCGGCGAGCTGAGGTCCGAGCTGGAGAAGCTATCCAGGTCGTCGCTGGGCGGACACAGGATGGAGCTCTTCGACCTGCCGCCGCCAGGGACGCGTCAGCCACTGGTCCGGCGGATCCGTGGGCCCGCCTCGCCACATCACGGTCATGGTGAGCCCCTGACCCCGAGCTACCTGAGCTGGTCTGAAGCTCCCTGTGTCCAGTGCGGAGGGTCTGTGCAGGGTCAGACAGTGGTACCCACGTGTCCGGCGCGGAGGGGCAGTACGGGGTCAGACAGTGGTACCCACGTGTCCAGCGCGGAGGGCCGGTACAGGGTCAGACAGTGGTACCCACGTGTCCAGCGCGGAGGGCCGGTACAGGGTCAGACAGTGGTACCCACGTGTTCAGTGTGGAGGGCCGGTACAGGGTCAGACAGTGGAACCCACGTGTCCAGCGCGGAGGGTCGGTGCAGTGACAGACAGTGGTACCCACGTGTTCAGCGTGGAGGGCCGGTACAGGGTCAGACAGTGGTACCCACGTGTCCAGCGTGAAGGGCCGGTACAGGGTCAGACAGTGGTACCCACGTGTTCAGCGTGGAGGGCCGGTACAGGGTCAGACAGTGGTACCCACGTGTCCAGCGCGGAGGGCCGGTACAGGGTCAGCTCGTCCTGCAGGTCCGAGAGGCGCGCCTTCAGCTCGTTGCGCTCGTTAAGGATGTCGCGCAGCTCGCTGAACGTGAAGCGCGGCCGAGCCGGGTCGTCCCGGTCGTACACCACCTTGTTCTGCTGGCTCGTGTCCTGCGACGGCCGCGGCAGCGTTCACGACAGGCGCGCGGCCAGAGGTCACCCGCGCGCGCACACGGCGGCTGCCACCGGCCTCTGCGACGGGCCACAGGGCCTGCGCAGTCCAGCCCAGCCGCAAACTCATGTCTAGCTGTCCAGTTAGCAGGAGCCGCCACGAGCCCAGGCGGACCACACGAGCATGCACGCCAGCTGTTCCTCTTTCAAAGCTCCGCACACCAAATAACCAGATTAACACGTCACACTGTTCCGATTCTACGCATTTATGTACCGGTGGCAGCATTAACCGTTCACGGAATAACATCTCACCACAGATTGAGACAGATCCAGGTTTTCCTTCTGAGCGGTGCCAAGCTGCTGACGCAGTCCTGTCATCTGTCGGCGGACGTCGGTAAGCTCGACCTCCAACAGTGTCCGCTCCTCGTTGAGCTGGCGCTGCTGCCCGGAGGCGACGCGCTGTCGCCGCTTCTGCTCCCGCACCTGCTTCTTCAGGCGGTCCATGTCCGACTGTAACTACACAGAACACACACGGGCACTGACGAGAGAAAACCCGCGCTGCCAGCCAATACCTGAACGCTCTCCCCGATGCAACAGAACGATCGACACAAATCAGTGATGTCGGTCAACAGCAATTTGTTTTCGGTCACTGTACGAGCATATCGTTGTCATGACCACAAAAAATGTATTTTTGACGTCGATATCAGCAGAGCAGCCGAAGCACCCAGCGCGAGGCTCGTGGTCATGTGCATTCATGTTCACGTACTACTCGGGGGGGGGGGGGGGGAGGGAGACGCCATGGTCAACACCATGGAATGGATGACGCATCGGATCGACTCTGGACATGTCGTCATCGTCACCCAGGTATGCCTAAGTCGAACTCTCGACATCCTTAACCGCGACGTCCACCCGACCAGGCCGCAGTGACACGGCATCGATCCTCGATGGTTTCAAAGTTACCTTGATGGACGGCGGCAGGTGGTGACAGGTGGTTCACTATCCCTTCCCTTGCCCTGCCGTGTCCCTCAGGGGTTCCCGTTGGGCCCAATGCTCTTCAGCATTATCACGAACGACCTTCCATGCGACCTGTCTCACGGGCGTCTGGTTTCATACGCCGACGATACCCACCTCCTCGACTCCGCCCACCCCGACCACTTGTCCACCCTAAAATCCCGACAGGAGGAAACCATCCCTGTCCTCCAATCTGGCTTCACTGCTAATTCTCTGAAGATGAGCTTCATCAAGATCACGCTTCTTCTAGTCGGCACGCCCAGGCCATCAAAAACCCTCATCCTTCCATCTTAACATCTCCAGCTTAAAATTAGCCGCCTCACCGTTCGTGAAGATGATAGCGGTGACTATCGCTCATACCCTATCCAAGGAGGGGCACATATCCAAATTAGTCAAAAAGTGCAACTCCATCCTGTCTTGTCTACAAAGATTCGTCACCATTTCTTGCCCGCAGCTCGCAAACTCATTATCCAGGCCCATGTTTCACCCATATCCTGTACTGCCTCTCAGCCTGGGGCGGGGCCGCCGCCTGCTGTCTGGGCCAGGTGCAAAAATTCGTGAATTTCGCGGCCAGGATCGCCTCGGAAGCGCAGGGTCAAAATTATATTTCAACGGTCGTGAGGTCACATGGCTGGCGCAGCATGAGTGACCTCGCTACGCGCCGCGTCCGCACTGGCGCCTTCAGGGCCCGAAATGACTCCCGTGCCTCGGTGGCGGTCCGGTCGCTGTTCACCCTCGGACCGCTGTGAGTGAGCGCATCACGAGTTCGGCAGCTGGCCGCCGCTTTGGAGATGCCCCCTTTACGGCCGTCTATGTCGCGTAGGGTGTTTTCATATCGGCCAGCCTCGTGCTGGAACCACCTGCCGCCGGCCGTTATGACCTCCCGGAACCGTGCTGTGTTCATGTCTCAACTTGACCAATGTCAAAAGAGCGGTATGGTTGACTTTGTGGGCCTTTCTCAAGCTCTTGACGTGTTTGCGTCATTGCCGCATCTTCGTTTTTATCGTGCAGCTTGTAACCCACAGACGCGAATCAAATCTTAAGCTAAACGTATGGAATGCTCCGCAGTAAATACATGACAACGTGAAAGGATTAAGTAACCGCCTAGAAGTACAGCTACCATTCATAATTTGGATCTCACCATTTGGATCTTGACGCAAAATGTGTCCTTGTCGTTACAACAGCCACCAAAACATTTTCAAGATTTCGGTTGCGTCAGAGCGACAGTTCCAGATTTATTTAAAGGGAGTGTATTCCAAAATTATATGGGGTTTTGAACTGAAATGGCCAGGCCTGAAGAGCTTTCGGTGCTGTTCACAATCCTGCCCTTCTTAAGACCTAAGTACCGCTAGTTTCTGAGATACACACTCGCGAAATGGGGAAAGGCATATTGGTATATTGGTAAACAAAGGTATATTGGGGAGAGTATTTCAAAGTCACCCTGGCATTCATAACGTAATAATAACGTCATTAAATCCTGCTATTCCATAAGCCATGCAGCGACCAAGGCCGAGAAAAATGTAATGGTCGAGCCGTTTATGTCTGGCGTTCGTGAGCACGATTTCAAGACGTAACGACCATCAACTGGCTCTCAATCAGTGTTGTGCAATATGTGATGACGTAAAAAAACAATGACGCATTGAGGCGCATTTTTACTTAACAGAAAATCGTGCTATTTGGGGCAGTTTTTTCACTTAAAAACACCAATAGTTATAAGCGAGCATGCTTCGCCGTCATATCTGATGCTTGGAATATCTTCAAATGTGAAACATTCATTTAAAAGTCATTTTGGTGAAATCTCATACCAAGGGTGTCTTTACAGACGTACAAGTTCACGAAAAATTACATTTGTGCAAAATTGGCCACGTTAAGCTTGAAAAGGCATGACAAGCTTTAATCGCCTACTTTATCACATTGCTGGACAAAAGTATCCATGCTTAAGGTTACGACAGCGTAAGGTCAATCGGCGCGTGCTGCTTAATCTCCGTCCCCCCGCTGCTGAGCATGGCGTCTGAGCCGCCACGCTGCAATCGATGACAGTGCTGCTCTGACGTCAGCAAGGCAGCCTGGCCTCTTTACCAGAGGGATTCTGAAGCTTTATAAGAGGGCTTGGATTTCCTCCGCTATGGCCGCAAATGCGCGTGATAGCTGCTCTCTGCACTCAAGCTCTGATTACACCGATCAGAGATATAATCCCCGTCCCTAGGGCACTGTGGTTGGAGCGCCAGTCTCTGCACTCAAGCTCTGATTACATCGATCAGAGATATGATCCCAGTCCCTGTGGCACGGTGGTTAGAGCGCCAGTCTCTGCTCTCAGCGAGCGGCGGACGCAACGGGTTCGGGACGCAATACCTGCACTGAATTCCAGTCCGACCTAAAGCGGCGCGTTCACCCAAACCCATAACACTCCGCCACCGGACGTCCGTGTCACGTGTCACGGCACGGCACATCCACTACACCCGGCACTGCCTGACTATCTGACGGGGCAAACTGGTTCCACGGCTCCGACCACCCAGGTGCCGGGGCGAGCCCTCACGCAGCGGGCCGTGATGTGTGCTGACTCTGATCCCGGCGATACTCCAGCCGACTCCCGTAGCCAGCTTTACTTCTCGCACAACTGTGGCTGAACTTCAAGGTAATCGACATCACATAGACATCAGCGAGACTCTTCGGCTATATGACCACTCTTGGTCGGTGCAAGATGCTGGGTGAACTGAAGTGATAATTTCCCTTCCATTCGAATGCCTAATTGTGATTTTGACCACACAACAGTAAATATGACAACAATTCGTGGAATTCGCCAAACTATTTTCTAGTTCAAAATTTAGAAGGTAGGCCACTACTGTCAATCGCGATTTAATTGGATACGCGCACGACGCATCCCAAAGGGAATCGTTGTGGCGCATTAAACGGCGCAAGGCCACGCCATGGCATGAATCATTTGTATGGGTGAGTTAAGAACGAGTTCATGAACTCATTGCCAAAATAACATTTCACACACGAATAATGCCAAAAATGGATTAATTGCGTTTGTGTGGGTTCAATTATACATTTAGCACATTTCACCAAGATAACATTTAGCACACAAATAATTCCAAAAAATGACTTAATTGCGTTTGTGTGGGTTCAACCATACATTTGGTACATTTTACATGTGCTACCACGCAGCTTTCAGTCGTCAAAGGCATCCATGCCGCGTGCCTTCTCCGAAATACCCGACGTAGTATCTGCTGAGCTAATCCACGCGACGACGTGCATCGCGTTCCCTTCACAAAAACATGTAGCCAAGCTTAAGCAAGAGTTCTATGTACAGCTCTGTCGCCCAGACAGCCGCGTTAAAGAACATGGGTCAAAATCTAAGATGAACGTGCGTTGTACGGGCAATAGTGCGCCTGTCGCAGAACTCACTGGTCGTGAATACCACAACCCGCCAGCTCCCTCCCTCCCCCTCCCGCAACAGCCCTTTCCCCGTGCCCCACCTAAGCAGAATAAAGCCGGAGTCCCCGCAGCCGGCCAAAGTGGCGCACCGGCCGTGTCTGGGTCCGCATGCTGTCCGCCAGCCCAGGCTGCCGCTAGGTTAAGCCGGGCTGCCGCTGGGTCCAGCCCGGGGCTGCCGCTAGGTCCAGCCGGGCTGCCGCTAGGTCCAGCCGGGCCGCCGCTAGGTCCAGCCGGGCTGCCGCTAGGTCCAGCCGGGCTGCCGCTGGGTCCAGCCCGGGGCTGCCGCTAGGCCCAGCCAGGCTGCCGATAGGTCCAGCCGGGCTGCCGCTAGGTCCAGCCCGGGGCTGCCGCTAGGTCAAGCCGGGCTGCCGCTAGGTCCAGCCCGGGCCTGCCGCTAGGTCCAGCCGGGCTGCCGCTAGGTCCAGTCAGGCTGCCGCTAGGTCCAGCCGGGCTGCCGCTAGGTCCAGCCGGGCTGCCCGCTAGGGTTCCAGCCCGGGGGCTGCCGCTAGGTCCAGCCAGGGCTGTCCCGCTAGGCTCAAGCCAGGCTGCCGATAGGTCCAGCCGGGCCGCCACTAGGTCCAGCAGGGCTGCCGCTAGGTCCAGCCGGGCTGCCGCTAGGTCCAGCCGGGCTGCCGCTAGGTCCAGCCGGGCTGCCGCTAGGTCCAGCCAGGCTGCCGATAGGTCCAGCCGGGCCGCCACTAGGTCCAGCCGGGCTGCCGCTAGGTCCAGCCGGCTGGCGCTAGGTCCAGCCCGCTCCTCGCCACGCCGAGCGCCGGCCGGCCGGTAGCGCCGGCGTTGCGGGGAAGGCCGGTGCCCCGGCGACGCAGTCCTACCTTCTCCACCTGGGAGTTCTGCTCGTGCAGCTGGGCGTCCTTGACGGACAGGTCCTCCTTCTGGCGATCAATGACGGCCTTGAGGCTCATCAGAACCTTCAGGTCGGTCTCTGATTCGTCGGCTTCCGGCCCTGGCAAGGAGTGTACATTCAGTCACCACAGTCTGGTAAGAAAGCCATGGATACGAACGATGGCCTACACGTCATCGTGCCGACCAATGAATGCGACGAAGGCCGTGTGCATGCTTTAAACCGAGCGCACAGCTACGGGAACCCATGCTAATACATCTGACGCATTCCATCACGTGCATCCGACGACCATGTCATGTAAGTGAACGACTAACGCAGCAGTGTGTGTTGCTAAGCTATAGTCCACTGCCTCCGCTTTCGTAAGGTCAGGTGCGCAGGCAGCGGACATTCACCAATGCTCAGGCGAAGGTCCATGCCAGTCGTGTCCATGTCGACCAGCGGTACATTAGCCACTGTCTGATCTGTTTCCCAATCAGCAGGTGCGCTAGGCGTCTCATCGGAACGCATCGGTGACGGGTCATGTAATGGTCTGGTTCCCACCAACCAGCAGAGCACTGCTCGCTGGTCTGGTCCGTGCGAATCGGCAGAGCATGGCGCACTGGCCTGGCCCAGCAACATCGAGCGTTACGCACTGGTCTGTTCGGGCGCGTCGCCGTTCCTCTCCGCCTCGCGCCGCTCCACCATCCTCCGGTTCTCCGTCTGCAGATCCGTCACCATGGTAACCAGCTTCTGCGTCTCCTCGCGCGTCCGCTCCTCAAACTCCTCCAGCTCCTGGGTGCGGCGAAACACGCGGTCAGTGACACCATCGAGGCTGTGTCCGCGGCACAGCGCCGCGGGCGTCCAGGTCGCCGACCTACTCCAGCTCTGAACGCGCTGTACCTACCACCGGCCGACTCACGGCCAACTGACGGCAACACATTTCAGGCCGCGAGGTCTGGGGTTCGAGCCCACTTCCTGCTTTGTTTTCGCTTCTCGCTCTGCAACCTTCCCGAGAAATCGTGGCGCCAATGACCGCAATTCTCAAGTATGCATTGTCAAATAGCCGGCGACGCTGCGGTTGATAGAGTTACGTGGGTCACTACTCGAAAAAACCTTGAAATCATATTGATGAAGCGCACATTACCGCTGTCAATGAGTCAGGCTGTGACTTCATCTTTTGCTACCTGGCGTATGAGGCGTGTTTGTATCATTAGGACTTTACGACGCACTCAGCTGCTGAGGCTGTATGGTGACACTTGCCTCTAACCCAGGCAGGAAGGTCAGGCACTACGGGAAACCGAAACCCATACCTCTGGTTCCTCAGATGCGCAGTAGTTAACGCAGACGCGTTACCCACTTTATTATCGGCACCCCTTGGCGTTTGTGGCGAGCTGGGGTCATTCTGCATCATTTTACATGAGGAGTGATACGAGCACGTGGTCGCCATGGGGTGCAGAGCACACAAACCATCAGGGAACCAGCGGATCATGGAGGCCAACGACGAGGGAGTTGGGGCACAAACGGGTGGAAATCACAACGGCTCCACCTGTGCCTTCCCCTCACCCCCTCCCACACTGATTGCTCAGCACACGTGTTGCCACAGTCGCCCACGATTCGTCACACACGAGGGCGCGACGGAAGCCAGAGGTACATTTCCGATGGAGTTACGCAAAATGGCGCGCCGATCCTGGTGCGCACAGCTCAACATGGCGCCAAACAAAACAAGGCCGCAAGCTGTCCACGCAGCAGCCAGGGGTGGGCTCAGGGCATCTGTCGCGTCAGTCCTGTCAGAGGGCATCACAGCGCGAAGACCAGCCATGCATGCAGGGCGTGGAGTCACGGCTGTCACGAGATCACGGCTGCACCACAAAGTGGAAGCTGAACGGAAGTTAAGTTAGGCTCCGCCAAGTTACGTTTGGTTCGGCTAGGAAAAAAGCAAGTGCGGGTTGGTGTCTAACATCTGGCGCTTCTGCTATCAAGCACAGAAATCGTTTGTTTCTGACGATAAAAATGACATGCGACGATACGCATAACGGATTGGTGCCACGGTGGGAAATAATCGCCTGGCACTTCTTGTCCCGGATCTCATCACATCCGAGGATGGTGATGAGGCATATGCTGGTCAAATTACCGCCCATGTGAGGTACGTTTATTTTGGGCGAGTCCCGTGCGTTCTTGAGTCTATGGTCTTTTCGGTGATTCGCATGCACATTCGGGATATTTCCACAAACGCCGAGCGCGACCACGCTGTTAGCTGCTCACCAAAACACACATCAGAACGCACGAACATAGACCTCATCACTTTCCATGCGTGCCGAGTGATCGCGAGCTCGTGACATGGACCGCACGAGCAGCCAGCTGTAGGTGCACCCATTAAAAAAAAATACAGGGGAATGCAACGCACGTCATCGCGTCCCTTTAACGGGGTGCCAGCGACCGCGATGGCCAAACAAACGCACAGGAGCTATGGCGTATACCAACACTACGGGCATGATAAAAGGCCCCAACCAGACTTCCAGCTGAGAACAACTGACGGCCACAATATACTGCAGCCAGAGCAGCGACGTCAGGAAGCGCAAGCACTGGTGCCAAGATGTGCTCTTGACAAAGAACTTTTATGCTCGAAAATAATAAAAAGTATTTTCAATGCTGCATTCATAACTTCAATATGCCTCAAAAAGCAAACTTGCCACTCTGAAGTGCCAAACTGCAAACAATTATACAGGTGCGCTTGGTATCATGTTCCTAAAATGTACGCTGGGAGTGATGCTAAAATGTAATTTGTCCCCTCAAGCCCTGAGCCACCACACCACCCACAACAACCAAAACTTTAGCATGGCAAGAAACAAGCCGCTCCCCGCCGTCCCGTCGTTCGCATCGCCCCGCAGACCTCTACGCCGTCCAGCGTCCTCCTCCCCCCTCCCCTCCCTCCCCTCCCCTCCCCTCCCCTCCCCTCCCCTCCCCTCCCCCCCCCCCCCCGGAGCGTCTCTGGCTGCCTCGGCACCCACCTTCTCGAAGCGGCGCCGCTCGGCGGCGCGCTCGGCCTTCTCGGCCTCCAGCCGCTCCACAGTCTTGCGCAGCTCATGAAGCGCAGCGCCCTCCTGCTCGCGCTGCAGCGACAGCCGCTCCAGCTGCTCCAGCGCCTGGATCACCTTGGGCACCAGGCTGGTGAGCGCGCCGGCGCCGAACGTGTCGATGATCGTCTCGAACTCGCGGCCGATCTCCGTGGCGATCTCATACACGTCGACAGGCTTGAGCGCACGTGCCGCCATGGCGGCCGGCCGACAGGACCCGTGTGGCACTATTGGTCACCCACCTTCTCCTGGAGCGGGGTACACGCTGGTTAGCATGGGGAGTGAACAGCAGCACTGCAGTTTGTTTGCCTGTTTTGTAATGTATTTTGGGTGCACAAAGCAGGCTGACACTGAATGTGACATGTGACAAGACTCAAGCCAGGTCTGTGTTTGGTGAGAAGATCCTTACCCCCAATATCAGAGACTTTTTGTATGATTTCCAGTATTGTCAGATTCAAATGGACACACACACACACGCGCGCACACACACACACGCACACACACACACACACACGCACCGCACACGCACGCCCACGCACACGCACGCACACGCACACGCACACGCACACGCACACGCACAGCACACGCACCGCACACACACCCCCCCACACCACACACACACACACACACCACACACAACACACACACACACACAACACAGATATTATATATATATATATATATATATATATATATATATATACAGCTAAAAAAGTAAAGCCTGAATTCATCACAGTATTTTAGCCTACTGTAAGTGAAAGACCAGTATCTGACCAACTATGCCATCAGGACAGTATGATTTTGGACAGTACAGTGATAATATGCCTATTTTTCACCCTGAGACTTAATGCGCATTTCAATATATAGATACTTTCACAAAAGCTACAACTGAAAATGAAAAGTAAGAAAAGGTCATAAGTTTTCCAGCATATCAATGAATCAAAATATGTCAACTATGCGACAACAGCTTATGAAACACAGTGACAAAGCCAATTCTGCTCCTTCCATATGCTCTTAACCTCCCTTATAAGATTTGGAAAGGACATCAAAATACATGGAGCAGCAAGGCATGGAACAATTTTGTATTCTTAACAATTCTGCCGTCCAAAGTCATAAACACGTAACTAACATGTTCATCGAAATGGAGTTATTAGTATCATTTAATTCGTCTCGACGAGGCGCACATTTTGATCAAGTAAAATGAGCATGTTCATTATTTTAAAAATAATTAAAAAGGGATATAAGGTTGGTAGATTCGCGTATGAGTAGTGCCTGTAAGGTTTTCCAAGGACAGAAACGAGTAACTGACACGTATCTGTGAAACGCTAGCCTAAATGGTTTCCATGCGCTCCGTTTTCCGAGTCAAAAACGCGTATCCGTTTACATACGCGATTTTGTCACCGACGATCAGCGACATTACTGTGTCAAAAGCGCGTATCTGCGAAGTGACGCGTTTTTGCCATTGGGAGCCGTTGTAAATTGAGCAGTTATGCGTTTTTGCCATAGGAAAATGTTTGTTTCTTCAAGATGTTTCCAAATCCTGCAAATACGCGCATCTTCACAGCGGAGGTGCTGCGGCCATACACGTGCGTTGCAGTCTTTTTCGTTCAAAACACAGGCAGATGGATAGAATGGGAATGAGCGATGCTCTCTAGGATCGTTTTTTAATAAAGACCGTGAACCGAGCTTCGGTATGTTTATACCATGGGTCTTGACCGTGGTTATTTATCATTAAGAACCTACCGCCATTCTTTCATGCACAATGGGTACACTTGTCACCATGTCTGATGCTCTACATCCAGCAAATGCTTCATTTGTACAGAGACGTTCCCCATCCCTGAATTACTTATGAATGAGAATTGGAGACACCCTTCTCTGTTACCGTGGAGCTGTTCAATCGCCCATATGATCCTTAGCAAGTGCATAGGAGAAGAACAATTCACTGGCATTGTTTTTGCCGAGATAAGAGATGTTGCTGAGGCCCTTTTTACAACTGACAGAAACATGTATATTATCAGATATGCGTTTTTGCCCAGATACGCCTTTTTTACTTTGACTACCATTAGGTTTCAATACTGTCTTCCCATGTCAAAAAACATCCTGAAACATCCAAACAAAAACATCCTCCTGAACAATTATGAAATTGCTAGTTACATGTTTTTGACTTTTGATGGCAGAATTGTCTGTCATATAAGAACTGGGAATACTAATCCAGCACCACACACTGCTACTTCTGTTGTCCTAAATCTTGGTGTACAGTAACATACATGACTCATGAACTCAGAGAGCTTGAACACACACACATATTCATATAAATGACTGGGGCCTGGAGGTCCCTAGCTGCAATCTATAGCAGCAGCTAACATTGTGTTCATTCACATGTTGCAAATATTACTCATTCACATGCCACACTCTCCACAGCAAAACATAGAGCATCACAGGCTTCAAACAAGAGACCCTGCATGCCATACAACCTGTAAGGTAATCAGTTTCACAGTGACCCATATATCAGATCAAAGTAGCATAGCTGTATGTGGGCAGCAAAATGCCTGGTACTACTGCAGTTACCTAATTATAGCCTGATTGTTGCATTTGACAACAAAAACAGATCATTATGTTAGAATGTTAGAAGGCCTTGAGCTCAAAACAAACCTGTTTTACATTAATATTGCTTATGATAAAATGATCATTTAATCAACATTTCTAGGCAAATGGATGGCTGAATCTTTTGAGAGCAAGACCTTGGTATATGCTTTAGGACTGGCCTACTCATAATGTCCCTTTCCCATCCTTGCACTTTGCCAGGTTTAAATATGGGAGTTAGAAATGATCCTGAAGCTGAAACAAGATCCCAGAGTTCCATTTGCATGAAACTCTATGAAGTTCTAATTCAACTCCTGAAATCCAAGCACATGTCTATGTCATTGTTCACTTTGGTACCTTGCACTGTAATTTTAAACTGTTCATGGACTTATGTTATAACCACACCATACACCATAAATAATAACAAAATGAGAACCTTCTTGGGACACCTGATCATCTTACCTTTAGGAAATAATAATTACAATAGTAATGGCCAGTGTCAGTCAAATGCTGTTCTGTCACACTAATGGCATAGCCACTAATGAGACAAAGGGTTGCAGGGGACTGGGTGGGAAGTTTAGTCAGGCTGATGACAGGCTAGTTTATGTCGGGTTAAGTTAGGTTATGTTCACTGGGTTAGGTATGGTTAGGTTGGTTAGGTTGTTCTTTTACATACTTTCCTTAAAAGGTCATTCCCACTGAGGAATTGTACACAGATTACACCATTAGAGCAATGGTGCTTGTGGGTGAGGCATGTTCCACCCCTGGAGTGCTTCCGTGTAATCTATAGAAATCGTTTAAGTTTGAGGGTAAAAGTGTATATGCACCAATTGCATGATTATCTACCTTTACTGGCATAGGCGAGGCAACTTATGTGCAATCCTCTTTTGTAACATGAGGTGCCTGTAACACGCCTACCTATACCCATGTCTCATGGCAGCGCAATTCTAGTTTAGGTTTTCAGACACCAGCAGACCAGCCTTAGCAGTGCGATTAGCAATTAGCCTTGCCCGTAAGGCTCGGTGTTCCACTCGTGACATCCGACTTTCTGTCATACCATCTGCTGTTACAACTGACCGATCGGTCGCATAGCCACTTACCTTTCAAATGCGGTTAACAGCTGTCAGCCACAATTCTTCCCGGAGCCCGCTGGGTGCCCCCACACGGGCTACTGTACCCCTACCACACGCCCTTGACCCAGGCGACCAGACTGACGCGGGCTGGGCTGCCTCATACCAAGGTCGAGGGGCAAAACCGTCCGGTGATTCACGCTTCATCTTCGCGTAACGTTAACGTGACGTCACTGAAACTGAGACTTTAATGCGCGGCGGGCCACTGGGTGCTGCACTTCAAAATATGCCGTGGGGTAGGGTGTCACTTTCTTAAACCGGTGAGCGATCTTGCCCGAAAAGGCTGACGCAGTCTTCCCTGATGCTGATTTATCTCCGGATTTCCACAACTTTGATGTTATATAAAGACTGATTAATATTTGGTAGATTTAGACTCGTTTTGCTGCGGATGCATATATTCCCATTTCAAATTAAAGGGAGTGTTTCAGCTGAAGTAGCTATTAAGGCTCATTCGGTGCAGTTCACAGCCTTGCACTTCTTAAAATTTAAACCCTCCGAGTTTCTAAGCTACACACCCGCGAACATGTTGAATGAACCAGCTGTGCAAATTTCAGTCACGATTGGCTGTTGCTGTTTCTTTTTATTAAAGCCCTTCCGACCAGAAAATATTATTTTAGGGCTATGGGATGAAGGAGAATGAGAAACAGTGGGGCAGGCCTACATGCGCATTGGGGTGGAGCAACCGCTGAGCGTTAGCTTCGCGCAGGGGACCCCTCTGCGGGGTGGACGCTGGGCGCCCGGTCGGGGGGCCCTCTGGATCCGGGTATGTGAATGCAGGTCCCTCCCCACCCCCAGGGAGCCTCTCGGTCCACTCGTGGCTGAGGCATGCAGCCTGCCCGGACAAGTAGAGCGTCGCGAGGATTTTGGAGCATGCTGTCCCTATTGGATCCGCCACTGGCCCAAGAAGCTTAATAGGTAGGGCCCGACTTCAACAAACTACAAAGGGCCATCCATTCAAATACGAGGTACCCAGGACACAACATGGATGGCCCTGTAGGGATCGAATATGCCAGAGCACGCGAACCGGTGGGGTCACCGACAAGAGCGTAGGGCCCTCTATTCAAATAAGAAGTACTCAGGGCCCAGTGCACGATCGAGACCTTCGAACGATCGAGTGTGCCCAAGCAGTTTATCAACAGGGGTCACGGCAGGACCGTACGGCCCTTCATTCAGGTAAAAAGTACCTAAGACCCAGATGGAGGGTCCCTGAAGGATGGAGATAACCAAGCAGGTTATCAGATGCCCCGACAGAAGCGAAGGGACCTTTATTCAAATATTGAAAACCAAAAGTAAAGGGAACCCGAACAATCCGGTGTGTCTGAGAGCAGGTTGGAGCCGTGACAAGTGTGCAAGGCCCTCTATTCAAATAGGGAGTACCCAAACACCAATTTGGAGCGCCCCGAACGACAGAGCGTGAGCAGTCAGGTTAACAGGTGGGCCCCCGACAGGAGCGCAGGGCCCTGAGCGAGTGCCAGAGAATTGGAAGGGCACTAGACCAGTGAAGAGGGCCCATGAGCTTATCGTGAGTGCGTCAGTAGGTCAACCGAGACCAATGTGAAGGGCCCCTGAGCAACTGAGAACATCCCGGTAGGTCAACACATGAGGCCCCGACTACAGCGTATAAAATCTTTCGGACTTCTGGAAAGAACCGCGGAGGGCTCCTGATAGACAAGGGTGCCCCGGCACGCCAACAGGAAGAGCCCAAGCAGCAGCGCAAGGCTCCTAACAATTGGATCGCCTCGGCAGTTGGATACAATGGGGCCCTGAAACCAACGTAAGGCCTCTGCACAGCGTCGTGACTCGTAAACTACCCCAATCGCCACCCTCTCAATCAGCGAAGAATGGTTTTGTCTATTCGCTGGCCCTTCACTTTTGCTTGCAACTGTTGTGGGTTGCCTGAAAGCTCAAAGATGTCGAATTGTGTCATGATTTGTGTTAAAAACCGCGTCTGTTTGGCCGACTGTGCACCCTTTGGGAAATATATCGGCCACTTCGAGGCTCAAAGGAGGACCGTGGTTACATTCCCTCCCCCTCCCCCCTCTGGGTCCGCCCTGTCTCTGATTAACGTGAAGGCGCGGAGCCCCTCAGACGTGCTCATCTTCCTAAAGACACTGCCGTTCGGGATGGCGGCGGTGGTGATTGTTTTGCCAAGAACGGAGATGACATTTTTTGCGCAATCTGGAATCTTCGGCAGGACAGGCCGGGCTGATATTGGGTGGGACAGGCCATCCACGAGACAGGGCAGAATCCTAACAGGTCCGTTTCTGCAACACCCCTTTCGTTCAGTTGCCCTGTCCGGTTTCGTCCTCTCCGTGCGGTACGACACGGGACAAGACGAGCATCACAGAAGAGAACGTTTACGATGGCCACCCATCCTACGCTGACCTGTCCTGCTCAGACATGCTTTAATCCTCCCCGTATTGTCCCAGCTAGGGTGAGGACGGGTTGGGGCGTGAACTGGCGACGGGACACAGAGCGGGACGGGTATGTGGTCCAAGTAGTTTCATTATTTTGGGTCATATCCTATTGAGTTTCTGTTGAGCCATGCCTAAAAGTTTTCGCACCTTTAGTTCCAGCACAGCTTACCAGAAATACTTCAGTTACAGTTGTTGCCATGCATTTAAAACATAATTAGGTCAGGCAACGATCGGGGCGCATTTTTGCGAGATTGCGGTCAACGCTGGGGGCCGGGTTGTATGATCGTCAATGCTGGAAGATGTTGTTTTAGCTGCTAAAAATTGAAACGTGTGTTCTGATCCCAAATTTCAGATTGTGGGTATAATTGGGTGCCCATTACGTTTCAAAGAAGACTGCATCGCGACACGATGAGTTTCACGCGACGATTGGTTTCGGCACAATTTCATTGACTTAAAACATGGCAGCAGTTTAGTTCGCTTAAATGTTTCGACTGTGTCGTGCTATCAGGCATCCGTAATATTTTACTCTCCAACGATTATATGAATTGAATGCTTCGAACGATGCAATTCATATCACATCCTGCAAAGTATCCCAGATTAGCTCTTAATGCGGAGCGTTTTTTTCCGAAAATGTTTTGTCCTAGCGGTGCCGAACGCGGCGTTGAGATGTCGTCCACGATGGAACACAACTAGTCGATCGCTAAGGGTAACACTAAGCCTCCATCTCAGATGGGAACATGGAAACAGACAGCGCCTTTAATATGTGATTTTTTCCGAAAATGTACTGCCCTCGCGATGTCCAACGCGATGTCGAAACGTCCACGATGCAGTAGAAACAGTCGAACGTCAAGAACAACCTATATCCTCCATCTGAGATGTAAACACGGAAGAATACGACAGTTTTTAAATGGGCTTTTGAAGCTTGAATGATATTTGTTGGAAGTTTTTACTCCTTAAAAATTACACAACACTCTAGTTTGCAGGAAGGCTTGACTTCTGTAAAGTATCTCACTTGACCGACAGCGTAAGAGTAGACCAATCAAAACCCAGTAATCAGCAAAATTGCCCTGCGCCCAAGATGGCGTCCGCGGACGACGAAAGCGACGAAAACAATGAGAATATGGAATCGTTTTTCTCATCAGAAAATGATAAAATGTTATTACCCATCTATCAGGTAAGTGAAAGAGTACAATGCGCCTTTGGCTCGGGGCTTTTGTTGTCAGTTAGCCAGCCTGGAAGCACGGAATGCCGCGGCGTGCTCGTTTTCTCGTTCCATGCCGGACGCTTGAGAGTAGATGAATGTGCCCAGTCGTCATCCAGGATGAACATTTTAAAACATAATGTTCCACAAAATTGCCAGGACGATAAAACTCTTTTTATGATAGGAAATGGTACCGCTTCCCAAGTTTGTTGGACTGTGGGGTTGTAACCATCCTCATTGTTTTCTGTGGTGTGAGCTGTGCTTACACACATTGCTATACATGTACTTGAGGTCTTAAAACGATGTTCAAAATGTCAGCAGGTAAATTGAGGTTATTCCCCTCACCATGGTTGTGGAAAAACTTAAAATTCTTTGGCTGAACATGGTTTGTAGAATCAATTGCTCTGATGTCAAAGTTGCCTAGGTCTGTGTGCTCCTGATATGGTGCCAAGGCTTGGAAGCATCTGCTTCACCAGTGATACACAAAATAGCCTATATTTATTGTACATGGTGTGCCCCAATGGGTTGCTTGGTGGGTTTCCCATTTTGTGTGCTGAAATCACACTTGCAAACTAATGTTTATAATATTGATAGAGTACTAGTACAAAGTGAGGGGTTTCAGGTGATTCAACTGCATGCCTAATTGAGCAAGAAGATGGATAGATAGTGTTCTTTCATTTCTGAATAATTTCCTTTGTTGGACATGCCAGCTGTACTTATTTATTTTATGTAAGATGATGTTAGCCATGACATAAGGTTAAGTTGGCTACGTGACTTCATTTACCGTGAGTTTGTATTTTTCACACTGGGAGCTGCTAATTGAAAAGGCTCATATTGCATGTTATATTGCATTATGCTTTCTGAAACTTTGGCAAAAAATTGCATAGCTGGCCCTATTATTTCTACATGTTTAATATTTCATTGACTTATTGTTTTTTTTCATGGGGGGGGGCCTAATCTGGTGCATAAAAAAGCAGCAATTTTAGAAGCATCAGTTACAATGCTTGAAGCATGTATAAAATACCCTACTGATGAATGAATGACATCAGGTTTATGTAAATATAAAAGGGCATGTCTAAAACTGCCATTTTAGAAGCTGCTTGATATTTCAACAAATTGCTTTGTATTGATACATAGTGTAAGCTAAACTAACTGAACACTGATGATCAGCTGTAATTCAAGTTGATTCTTAGCCCTGATGATTATTACAGTTACTTACCACATGCTTATGGATGGGATGTTATACTCACCATACCATGTGCCTTTACCAAATATTGTGTGTTTGTTATAACTAAGCATTTATATTTCAAGCCTGGGCTGCAGCATCCTGTTCTGATGTTGATGCAAGTAAGAGATGTTTCTGTGATATTGGCATCGAAACTGTACCTCCTGGCACATTGAGGATTGTTTTTTATATGAGTGCCCACATCTTAATTATCATAATTAT